GGGTACGATGTTTGCTTCTTCCCAGTCTGCCGGTATAGTTGTGGTGTCGATTGATTTCTGGTAAAGTGCTGTGAGGATGTGTGTAGTGTCAGCCGATGTTTCCTTCAGGATCCGTATTGGAACTTGGTCGGGCCCTGTGGCTTTTCTGGGATTGAGTCGGTCAAGTGCCTTTTCTACGCCCCTAACACTGATGATGATGTTTTCCATTGGTGTGAATTTGCTGTCTCCCTTGTGTTGTGCAGAATCGACCACTTCTAGCCGTGCTGGTTTTCAGAGATCAGATTGTTCTCGTCTAGGTGTTTGACGATGTCACATCTTATGATCTTTTGTAAGAGTTTCCCCACAACCGATGTGAGACTAATCGGTCTGTAGTTACCTGGGGTTTGCTTCCTTTTTTGAAGATCGGAATCACAATTGCATGTTTCCATTTGATTTACGGAATATAACTTGATGATTTCAATACAATTTTATTATTTCGTCAGCATTTTCTTTTATAAAATGTGGGCGAATCTGATCGGGTCCTGGTGATTTGTTTGTTTTTAGTTTGTTAATAGCTTTTCTGATCTTATCTTCAGTGATAGCGATTGAGCTGACAGTATTTTGTGTTCGTGGCGAGAAACCGGGGATTTCAATTTATTTTCTCGTATCTTGAGGTGATCATACAGGACGACGCCATTTATATCTATGACCACTTTATAATTTCGTTCTCAACTGGAGTGTTTACTTCATAACCTGAACAAAATGGTAAACAATTCCTTAAATCAGACATTTACATGAGTCTTTCGTCATATTTACGTTTGACGCGATCAGTTCGATAAAAGTAACAGCCTGATATTTGCATTAGCATTGGTTAACTCCGTCCCATCCTCGATACTCCAGGGATAAGTTACGCTCTCTGCACCCCTGGAATATGTCATAGCAGATGTACATCAGAAGAATCACGCGGTCGCGTAACGATTGGCTGGCTTTGAAGTCGGATGTCGCTCCTCTAATATTCAAAGGGCATGTTATCAGCCTAGCGATTGGTCAGGATATTTTTTTTACATGAGACCGATCAAACAACAATCTTCGCGCCTTCAATTTTGTTATGACTTATTCCAGATTCCTTATTCCAGGGGTGCAGAAAGCGAAAGCGCCCATGTCTACTGTTGATGACGTCACACAATTGTGTCACGTTCACAGAAAAATGTGTATAGCTCCGCCCACAATTATTGTTGTTGACGTCATACATGGAAACTTTGATAACTCAAGTTTGTTGAAACTTGGATAATTGATTAAATGTTAATTTTACGCAAATGTAACAGAATCGCAGGGCGTTGTTTCATATTGTTTCGGGCCACAACCATCAAAATTGATGCCCAATGTACGGTAAGTGTTTTAACTTTAGACAACAGTATTTTAAAATGCAAACGTATGGTTCATGGTTCATGGTGGTCGACGTCTTCGTAAGCATAATTCATTGCTTCTGTTGACGCTTCTTCATAGTCATTCACTTATTTACAGGTATGATTTCTATTCACACAAATATTTTTTTCTTTGATCCTCTTGGTACTTGCGATTTAACAATCTGACAAAAATACAGATGTAATTTATCGCTTACGACATTAATTTAGAGGCCATAATCAGTGGGATTTGCACCCCAGGAGGTCGGAGATCGAGTAAAGAATACACTGCTGTTTCCCAAGGCGTGTATCGTAAGGGGCGACTTATGCGGGAACCACAGCAGAATTGAGGATTTGCTTTTGTGCCCTCTAATTCGTCATATTTGAACCTGTCTTTAATTGAAATGTACCCATATTCAATTGAATTGAATGAACCTATCTTCAATTGAATCGAATGAACCTATAGATCTTCAATTGAATTGCACCTATCTTCAATTGAATTGTACTTATCTTCAATTATTTGAATATATGTTGATTTGGCGTTCCATAGTTTTCGGGGGATTTTGTTTTGCGTCAATGGCGAGAATTTTTTTTATTATTTTTTTACCTTTATATCCCATTTATCTTTAAACTTTTCGTGATAATTTGTGCATACCAATATAAAACAGTTAGTCACTATATTTCCTATTACCGTGTATCAGTTTGTATCTTTATAGCTAGTAAATTTCATACTAAATGCCCATGACTGATCATAAACGAAAAGTATTCAAATCATTATCAAATTGCCACAGACAAACATATATATATAGCGCTGCATTTGATATACAATAGTGCTTAACATAACGAAATGATATCGATCTGAATGAGGTATTATTCTTATTTCTCCTATAGGAAAGTCTACGTGCTTACACGTTAACGCCCGATGAAAAAAAATACACGTTGTATTCTTCTTATGTATTGCCTCAATTAAACTGTATGGAAGCAAAGTAAAGCCGGTCTGAATACTCATTTTAGGAAACCGACCATGACATATCTATATCATTAGCAATTTGAAACCAATATATATACTCGTTTTTAAAATGTTAATTGGTATGAATGCTGCTACACACGGTGGGTTTGGTAACTCTTCATGATGCCCCCATGATCGAGTCGATACGACCAGGTCAGTCGGTGTTAAGCAAAGACTACCAGGTAAGGCACTGTTGTGCCTCCGTACAACAGACCGGTTGCCATCCACCATATTGTATAAACAGGTCGGGCGGTCTTGACGACGTTGGGGTGAAGTGTGATAAACATAGTGTCATCTCCTCCATCTACGGGCCAGCGGACTCTGGGGTAGTATACCACTCACATACAGGATCATATAACAGAATGGGAGCCAGGTGCATCTGTGAAATATGCACGTGCGGGTAAGTTAATTGATATAAGGTGTAAAACCGCGTACCTGTTACAACTCCCAAGCGTACAATATTGTGCCCCGTTGTTTAGGAGAAATAGGCCACAGGCCAATAAATGTCCCTCGTCATCCCCAATCATGATCTACCTTTTCTATTAGAGTAGTTAGTGTGATGTATATCGTTTTGATTGATAAATGACCCAGCGGATTCGGACTAATGGTCAGCGTAAGTGTATAGACCTATATTGGAGAATTTATCATGATTTTACATGTCGTGTTGATTGTGTGTGACAGGTACCCGTGATAATGGGCCGTCGTAACACCTTGACCGTTCTTAGAGCATAACTGCCACAATCATTAAGGGTATTACACTGTGGTATGTCCACGGGATGTCCATTTTTGTGTCACTTTATCACTAGTAGATTTATCACAACCCCAAACCTGGCCTCAATCCCCCCTACCTTTCCTCCCCCCTTCGCTGACTCCCTCATAACAACACACGGAACTTTTATTTCATATTCATGTATATGAAAATACTACGAATATGCCCTTAAATTATTTGTAAAGAGGGTGAAAAGGTAATTCAATATCTGTTGTTGTTTTCTTGGTTGGTGGGGAGGTAGACATGTTTAAATTTTTACTCTTTAAATGCCTCATTGTTTCAAAGTTGTACAGCCATTATTAAAAACCTCCACCCCTTAAATTTAACAAACACCCCCATTGTTCCTCTAACAACACAATACACATTTCAGTTATGCTTGTTAGTACCACATACTGAACAATATACATGTATATATATATGCTGATAGAATGTACCTTTTAATGCATGTAGGCCTTTACAGATTAATTTACATATCAAAGTAAATAATTTAAATTAAAAATAGAAAATTCTGATTTTGGTATTTCGATTAAAATCCCAGGCATGAAATAAAGTGTTTAGGTATTAGTGAGCGAAAATGGCCTTTATGATATCTACCACCAATCACACCACACCGACACTCCCTGTAAATTAAGGGAAGGAGAGGGGACACATAATGGTCACCCCTTCCCCTACCAGAATCAATGCCCTGGTTTGAACATGTCACTGACAATAAGGATTTTGAAGTGTGAAGTTAACCTGACACCAGAACAAAGATACTCAGGAGCATTTGTTCAGTCAGTCTGTGATGTACACAGACACATCAGTGACTCTCAGACAATGGCTTAGTTGTAAACTAATTGGTCCTGGTCACGGAACTCTGGAAGATAATGGGGAGAGCCATTAATTATTTACCATAGGTTATAGGACAGGTAAACTGCAGCAGCTGTAATCAAGGGGAATAACTCTGCTTGTCTTATAGTGATATTCAAGATCTGACCAGTGCCTTCTACCTTTGTCCAAACACTCCTGTATACAGTAAACAGGAGTTTTATCTATACATGTTTTCAGTAAAGGCAACAATATTCTGAAGCATTCGTTATGCCTAGCATTAAGTTAGGTATCAGACCATGATGGTTTTTTCCTGTGTATAACTAGTTTTTTATCAGCTTAGAAATAGCTAAAATTACGTTTTGCATAAAGAACATAGTAATAGTGTTACCTGCCTAAACCAAACCCTGTATAACCTGTCTAAACCAAACCCTATATTGCCTGTCTAAACCAAACCCTATATTACCTGTCTAAACCAAACCCTATATTACCTGTATAAACCAAACCCTGTATCACCTGTCTAAACCATACCCTGTATTACCTGTCTAAATCATACCCTATATTGCCTGTCTAAATCAAACCCTATATAACCTGTCTATACCTAACTCTGTATAACCTGTCTAAATCAAACCCTATATTACCTACCATACCCTGTATTACCTGTCTTAATCAAACCCTATATATATATAACCTGTCTATACCTAACTCTGTATAACCTGTCTAAATCAAACCCTATATTACCTACCATACCCTGTATTACCTGTCTAAATCAAACCCTATATTGCCTGTCTAAACAGTAACCATACCCTATATTAACGGTCTAAACTGAACCCTGTATAACTTGTCTTAACCAAATCTTGTATAACCTGTCTAATCCAAACTGTACATAACCTGTCTAAATCAACCCCTGCATAACCTGTCTGAATCGAACCTGTACAACCTGTCAAAACTTAATCCTGCATTGTCTGTCTAAATTAGCTCCTGTATGGCATGTGAATACACATTTAGATCAGAAAATGCACATGTGGAGTCATTTAGTGAATATTCCTCCAGTCATTTTGTGAATACAAGAGTAGGAGTCAGACTGTAAATTCACACATTAAAATAATGTGAGCAGCTCCCTCATATTCAGTTAGTGATTACATATGTAGAGTTAATGAATATATATAGAAATCTACGCAGGTAGCTGAAACCAATTCCTTCAATTATTTAAACAGGTGTCAGACATGAAGATTGTGTTTCTTTGAGCAGGCCTTGTTATTATTGGGTTTAATATAGACTTTTATCACATAGAAAATGATGTGCTCTATCTCAAATGTTGCCTGTCATGTTAGTTTTTAATCTTTTTTTTTTATCAGATATGAAAGCATATAAAGATAAGTGTGCTGTAAGTTTGATTAAAATCTCTTGAGATATATACACCAAACATTTCTTCAGGTAGGTAGTTATCATCAGTTCTGTCAGTAACCACTACGGATGTCTTCACACCTGCACCATTAGATAAACATATAACGTGTTGATAAACAAAGTTATTCACATGTGAGTAACATTCTGGACGTGATTTCATTGGTCAGCCCTATTAGCATCATGATTTTTTGTTAACTTTCATTATTTAATTTCAAAATTCCATAAACTCATATTTGTCTTTTACAATTTGAAAAATTACCTTACTAAAGATATGAAGACTGTAAGAATGTGCATCCATTGAACTAGTGCAACGTTAAGTAGTTTTTCGCACGTGAGCAACTGTATACCTCAGCTGTGATCTTTTCCAAAATATTATCAATTGAAAAAATCCATCATTTCCTGATTAAATAAAAAATGTGAAAGCTAAATAGCTAAACTTAAAGTATATATATATATATTCTAAATATAGACAAGATATGAAACATTTGTAACCTTGATTATTTAAAATGAAAGATTGTCAGTTCAGGGGAGATAATGTGTGCAATGTATCACATCTTACAAGGTTGAGTGTTATGTATACCACAAACACTGAAAAACTAATGTATTATTGAGAGATATATTGTGTGATAAAAAAACAAGAGATTTATTGTTTCATGCAAGGTTTAACAAACATGTCAACCTTGTCTGTGTTTAAATCAAAATGTTAATTATTAATTACGTTCCTTTCCAACCTAACAGTGCAGAACTTCCACTAAGGTATAGATGTATACAAGGATGACAGTTGTACATTACAGAGTCCACTGATATATATTGACACTGTCCCGTTACATGTTTAACAATCAGTACACTTATAAACTCTATGTACTGTGAACCAAACCAAATAGAAAGTTTTCTGTATTAAGTAATTCAAAAAGTGATTTGCTACCTAGTTAATTAATAAATTGTTCAATAGTGATCCTATATGGTGACATGTAACCATTTGAGTGTATTATAACAGTCAAACAGCAATAGTGCATTTAACAATAAATATTTTCAAAATTGAATTTTTTATACATATTTTGATATTATTTTTTTTTAAATAAAAATCTCCAAACATCAAAAACAAAAAAACTGATACGATATTGTAATAGATATAGCTTGATTGCTGTATAATGTTTTGTAGAAATATATTTAAAAATAGTGTTATGCATATGTTAAACTGACTTGTTATACATTTTATACCGCAATGTTATGACATGTCAAGATTAAGCTGCTATTGGGGCTGTGGTGGCCAAGTGTTAAGGCGTCTGACCATCTACGATCACTAGCCCTCAACCACTGGGTCACAGTGGCCAAGTGTTAAGGCGTCTGACCATCTACAATCACTAACCCTCCACCACTGGGTCACAGTGGCCATGTGGTTTAGGTGTCTGACCATCTACGATCACTAGCCCTCAACCACTGGGTCACAGTGGCCGTGTGTTTAAGGTGTCTGACCATCTACGATCACTAGCCGTCCACCTCTGGGTCACAGTGGCCAAGTGTTAAGGGGTCTGACCATCTACAATCACTAACCCTCCACCACTGGGTCACTGTGGCCATGTGGTTTAGGTGTCTGACCCTCTACGATCACTAGCCCTCAACCACTGGGGCACAGTGGCCGTGTGGTTAAGGTGTCTGACCATCTACAATCACTAGCCCTCAACCACTGGGTCACATTGGCCGTGTGGTTAAGGTGTCGGACCATCTACGATCACTAGCCGTCCACCACTGCCTCACAGTGGCCATGTGGTTAAGGTGTCTGACCATCTATGATCACTAGCCCTCAACCACTGGGTCACAGTGTCCAAGTGTTAAGGCGTCTGACCATCTACGATCACAAGCCCTCAACCACTGGGTCACAGTGGCCAAGGGTTAAGGCGTCTGACCATCTACGGTCACTAGCCCTCCACGACTGGGTCACAGTGGCCATGTGGTTTAGGTGTCTGACCATCTACGATCACTAGCCCTCCCCCACTGGGTCACAGTGGCCATGTGGTTAAGGTGTCTGACCATCTATGATCACTAGCCCTCCACCACTGGCTCGCAGGTTCGAGGTCTGCATGGGTTAGTCACCAGGTACTGGCCATAGTCAGTGATTTTTCTCTAGTTTTTCTTCTAGGGTTTCCTCCACCACCAAAACTTTAGTACGTCCTTGAATGACCATTGCTTTTTAAATAAGACGTAAAACACCAACAAGCCAAAACGAACTAAGCTGATATTACTGAATCATAGTCACAGTTTCCATATTCTTAAGGAAGTAAAGAACAACACTAATGAACACATTGTTTACTGACTCAATTTTAGTAATTTATCCATGGACATTAGTTTACAGGAAATATTTGTTTAAATCTCCAAATTGATACATAAAGTACACATACTGTGTATTATACTACTGGGTCCACATCCGCTCAATGTTCATTACAATACTTTGGCCATTCATATGTATTTGAATAGATATGTACTTAGCAATTACTCTGCATTTAGCTGTTCGCTGTGTGAATTTACAGAATTTTTAAACGGTTTGAGTTGAGAAAGGAAATGAGAAGGTTTTCATTGTTTGTAGCCCTGTTAAGAGTTGGAACACCATATGATTATGTATACAGAAGATATACATACTAATGTATTGATTTGTGGATCTATCCATTGATCGTTACTCCTAGGCAAGTGGTGAAATCCTGTAAAAGGCCTATAATCCAGGTCTTATACCAAATCATTTTGTTTAGGGTCTCTATAATCAGAGCCCTTTCTCTCCGACATTGTCAATCAGGGGTCCAATTTGAATGCTTGGTATTATAATGAGATATCTGGTGAAGCTCATAATGGATTTTATACCACCTGATCTTGAGTCTACATATTGAATACAGTATGATAATACGTGTAGATGTACAGACATCCATTATCATTACACTACATATACCTGACAGGGATTATACCCTGTTATGTATAAACACCCAGAAGTCATTAGAATAAAACCATGGTTACCAGCCGAGCCTGTCAATCCTGACCAAGCGATCAATACATGTATAAAATTATATGTACATAAGGTTGCACACGGGAGGTTTAGATATTTAAAAATAACTGATTCATCATACTGTACACGATACATATTAAAAGCATTTTAAGCACCTTTGATGAAAAAATTATTAAGAATAATTTTCAACGTAAACGATAAAGTTTTCAGGAAATTCTTTTCAACTAATTTTGTAAAAGTCTTCTATGTTTCTCATTTGTTAATATTTTGAGCAGATTTTACAGATATTCTAGAGTAACTTCAATGAAATCAGTTATTTGTCTTTATGAAACAAAACTGTAAGAATCTGGTTACACATTAAATGTATATACAGGGGTACACAAAATTTAAGTGAAGCTAAATGTCACAAACATAATTTATCATAGCTTATGTGAAATTATAGGATAATCTTTTCCATTTAAATTTTGTATTTAGTTTAAAAGTTTCAATATTAAATTCGAAATAATGAAAATAATTTATGGGGTAGGGAATGTCTGTCCTTTTTACATATCTTGCCAGGATGCTTAAGAAGAATGAAAGACCCCTATTCATTTTAGACATCAGATTTGTCAGAGGTCAAGGTCACTGTTACTACAAATTGTTTAATAAGTTTAAGAAGGGCATTTTTTAATAACTGAAAACATTGATGTAATATGTTTTCAAGTGCATGTCAATACCACAAAGTATCTATCAGTTAAACAACCCTACAGTTTACTACAGATCAGTATACTATATATAGTATAATACTACCTGATCTAGGAGCTCTAAATGTGTACTAACTGAGCCTAATGTTCACCTCAGCACTGGGTCATTGTGTGGTCACTATATACCTTGTACATTAAAGACATACCTGTAATTAGATCTAGAGATTACGACCACCATACCTGTGTGTACTACGCTGATTAGCTTTATACCCTACTAATAATACACATTCAACATTCTAAGTTGGGTACATGGAGATTAGTTTAAATTTAAAGTTAATCAAGCTAGAAGGGATTAACTCAACACTATTTACAAGTGTCAGGACATTTACTGAACATACAATGGATCTGTCGCCACAACCTTCTTTGTTCACCTTTTAGAATCAATTTTAGTCTGATACTGGTACAGAATATGGTAGAGAGTACCACCAATTTAATATGTATTAATACCATTGTCACTATCATAAATGTTTGTTGAAGTACTTTTCTACTGAAGACATAACTACAGTTATTCAAAATTTTAGTTCATTATATTTGGAAACAAAAAAAAAGAAGCAAAATATGTCGGGATCAAACTCATGATGACCTTAATACACTGCCAATCCTACACGGTACCAAAATTACTTTCCAGGAACTATTCATGCATAACATCAAAATAAGAGATGAATATCTCTGCAAGAAAAGTAACTCTAAGCCAGCAAAACTCCTTTTGTTGCTTTATCCTCTATGACCTAAGGGAGAATACTCCACGTCTCAAAGATATATCGAACTCTTCTTTGTAGTTGTATTTAGTGGAGTGGTACATGTATACCCTTCAGCTAATTGTTGAAGTTTTCTACTTCCTCACATGGACTGTACTGGAAGCTTGTCAGGATTATAGATGTCTAGTTCAAATATATATATAAAAAAAATAAAAAGGAGAAAACAAGCCTAATGTTCATACTTTAGAGGTGTCAAATTCATGAATAAACCAAGTAATTTTTTTAAATATCTGCTCCAACTTCTGTCTGTTGATCTTCCTCTATGTTCAAAGGACAAACACATTAACACTTCAAATGTATATGTCTACATTATATATACTCGAGGGAGACATCTGATTTTGAAAGCTTTTTTAGCCATGTTTGGTTTGACTTTTCAGGCGGCATCGATGTCCCCATCAGAAAACGGCTGTGATCAACAAGACAAATCAACCATGTACTCTGACAGAGTACACCAATGTATACAAACAGCACCCCATGGTGCCCCGCGAGAGCTTCAAACCCGCCAACGAGGCCATGAAAGGGGGAGCGTTTGAGGATGCTACAACACAGAGGTGAGTCCAGATCTATAGAGTATTTAACAAATAACCATTATTACTGTACAGGTATTCTGTATCTACACCAAAGACACAGGTGATTTGAAATGTGGTACTAATACAAGACAATTTTTAATGAGAGACCGGTAAGGCACCACACATTGCAGAAAATTTGTAATTCGATTCTAAGACACTGCAGGTAATATGCATTGAAATCCTAATTAAGACACTTCAGGTAATATGCATTGAAATCCTAATTAAGACACTTCAGGTAATATGCATTGAAATCCTAATTAAGACAATACAGGTAATATGCATTGAAATCCTAATTAAGACACTACAGGTAATATGCATTGAAATCCTAATTAAGACACTTCAGGTAATATGTATTGAAATCCTAGGATTGTGTCACCATTTCTCAGTAGAATTTCTTCAAATTCTGTAGTTATATTGCTTTAAAATAAAGAAAATTTTCTGCCACAAAAAAAATATAGGTTGTCAGAATTTTAAGGATTTTAAATGGGAATTTATGTAAAAAGGAGTGAATTTTGAAAAGAAAATGAAAGACACAATATTTTTACAAAATAATGTCAAAAAAAATGATACTGACATATATTAGTATTGCATTAATGTATTTCAATTTAATAAATGCTGAAAGTGTGTAAATTTAGTTCTCTATACACGATATAAAAATTGACATTTTATAATAAAACCATATACACATAGTAATTGCAGGTTAGAGTTATCGTTCTTGAAAAACTTCACAGTAGTAAAATAGGTAGCCGGTTTCCGGAAGTACAGAAAAATGGACACATGTGACTCATTGATAAAAAAAACCCTGAATTAATGCCTGGATTGCTTTGAAATACTTTAATATTGAGAGGACACACTGTTCTGTCAATAATAAACATACAATATTCATCAGTTTAATATTAAACATTAGAATTTGCGGAAATTGTGATACTGTCTCCCTACATTGGATTTTCAACTAGGGATGTACTTCCTGTTTCTGTTTATCAATACACTCCAATGACCTTAAGTCACTTCAGGTAATATGCCTTGAAATCCTAATTAAGACACTACAGGTAATATGTACTGAGATCCTTATTAAGACACTACAGGTAATATGTACTGAGATCCTAATTAAGACACTACAGGTAATATGTACTGAGATCCTTATTAAGACACTACAGGTAATATGTACTGAGATCCTAATTAAGACACTACATGTACTGGTAATTAATATGTAATGAGATTCTAAGACTCATGACTTTCAACTAGTAAGGTATAACAGATATTTCATAATTAGAGTTTGAGACACATTGCGTAATTTAAAATGGGAGCATAGGACACATGAAGTTGTTAATAAGAGCCTAATAAGACACTGGATAATTTCTAATTTAAGTAAAAGACACTATAGTTAATTTGTAATGAAAGCCTAGTAAGAAACTATGGATCATTTGTAGGTAAGAGCTCCAAGACACTTGGTGTGATTTGTAATAAAAAGGCAAACACAATGTGTATGAGAGCTTCAAACACTTTACTTTATTTGAAGATGCTGTGCATGTGTACATGTCTTTAAAAATGAATGGCATTAACTGATTGTGATCGTCTTGGGCCAAGATTATTATGTATAGTAACGCACTCTGTTTAGGAGTATCCAACACTAACATTAAATAATGATATTGGGTAATTCTTCTCGATTGGAATGTAACCTAATTGTAGTGTATCATCTCAGAGGAATTATCTGTTATCAAATATTTATAGTTCATATCTACACACAAATAATGGATTGATGGATATTTATAGATAGCTCCGTCTCCTTCATGTAAGGTATTCCCAAGCAAGGTCGTTATTTTCATTTTTTGACAGTAATATACACAACCAATATTTTCATTGTGTGAGATAATTTTAATAGGGTTAAATTTAATGATAGAGTGCACTTTGACATATTTTAATTAAGTATGTAATTATTTGTCAGTCAGGCGGGTCAGGTTGTCAGTGTAATTCTGTCACAGACAATGAGCAAGCAGTATTGTCTCAGATAAAATGTCATAGCTGATAATATACTTTGCTGGTATTCCGTGAATTATATTGCTCATTCTTGCAATATATTGATTATTGTGAGACATTTTGCTAATTGCATTTATCAGATATTTTCTGTCTGTTTGATTAATGTGTAAATGAATGTAGTGGAACTGGAATAGGTCAATCACAGGTGACCATGCAGGTAGCTCAATTTGATAAAATGACCGTTTCCATTCCAGCCTAGCCGTGCATTTACAACCTGTGAATTTTACCTTTCATCTTAAATGTTGATATGAATACATTTGGTAAATGTATATTTTCCAAAATTAAGTACAATTATAAATTTTGAAACTGTATCAAAGAAAATCGGTAGATACCATGAGAGTACAAGGTAATGTTGCCGTACAAGCTAAATACGACAGTACAATTGTATTTTACTGCAATAGTTAAAACTGAAAATTTACTTCTTTGTTATTTTATCCGTGGCTTATTGTCACTCTTAACAACAACAAATCAATTTGTCTGGAATATTATGAATATGCCAATGTGGAATTCCAAATCCAAAACTGTTATCACACTCAGAGAATATTGATATCCTCTCTAGAAGCTAGGCCCTGATGTGATAGTCCCAGTGGGTGACGCGCTTGTTTACTACATGGGCTAGGACTGTTGACCGCTGGCTTGCAGGACATTAATTATTGAGTTGTTTGTAAACAATGCTGAGGTTCTATGGAGACAAAATCGCCCTGAACCATAACAGAGCAGTGCAGGGCCTCATTACTCATTTATCAGTTAGAGGAGTTTGATGGGATGGATCTGTGGGAGTCTTAAGTGGGGTAGAGGGGTGGGAGAGGGTATTCACACGCTAAAAAATTAATTACTGTTAAAGGGTACATGTTAATTATTAATTACAATAACTATGTGAATCTTCTTCATCTACACAATAACACTTAGTTAATGAAATTCTTGACAAATGTAAACACATAAAGTTCGTTAACGTGCAGTGTCTATGTAAACCTGGTCAGTTTCCCCACATCGGGCCCCAGGTGTAGGAGCTTTAGATGTGAAATAATTGTGTTACCTATATATGTGTATGTCTATTCATCATCAGCAGCCACACCTGGCAGACCTGTGTTGTTTGGCACCCAGATCCAAGTTTTATACCAGTATTACCATATTGATTGACGAAGAGTAAAAATACACTTCTCACAAAATGTCTTTAAACCTTGGACGAGCAGACATGAAGTCAAAACAAGGCTCTACAAATGACCAGTATGAGAGAAAATTTCAAGACTCTCTCCGCTCTAATATTAGAGACTTTGATGGGTTTGAAATAATGGCTCTCCAGAAAACACAAGGTCCTGGATAGTTTCGGATTCAACGCAGGATATCCCACAGAGAGGGAGACAAGGCGAGAGGGGCAAATTCCAATCCATCCGGGCACCCTACTTAGTGGAAGAACAAGAGAATGGGCCAAGAAAGTCTCAGAGTCCAAAATACCAAGGCTCTGATGATGGTTACTTCAGTGCTAAGGAAGAAGGGGGATCATTGTCTCCGAGAACCACTAGTAACCAAGGAAAACAAAATGGAAGCAAGCCGAAGGAGCAGATATACAAAAAATCTCCTTACTTCATGGAGGATGTAAACAGGAACTCATACAAAAGGGAGGGAGTCGCTGGCACCCCTAGACAGCAAGGCCAAGGTCAAAAACAAAAACTGTTTGAACCAAAGTCACTCGTAAATGATGCTGGTCCACAAGACACCAAGGGCAACAAGAATACAGGTTATCGAGCATCATGGGAGACGTCGCGCAGCATGCCCCCACTAGGGGGAGGTAAGGCTAGGCAGGGCGAAAGATCAGAAGACCTTGGGAAAAGTGCTCCTTACCTTACTGATGACAACCAACTCAATACAAAATACCAGGAGAAAACTTTTATTAAGGGTCACCAAGGCAGGAAGGTTCAGTGGCAGGACATCAGCGATAGCTCTCCCTACTGTTACTGGGACCAGAATGGCAAGAAGCAAGCTGAGGTACCCAAACTGTCACCGACAGATGTTCCAAAGCTCTCACTTCCCAACAACACCAGGGAAAAGGAAATGGCAGGGAATGACAGAAAAAATTGGAATAAAAACCAATCCATGTCTCCAAGAGAGAAACCCCAGCTACCTCTCCTAGACACATGTGATCGGGGGACTCAGACAAGCATCATAGCTGTGGAGGAGGACAATGACTGGCTACAGGACAGTAACAGTGATGACATTCAGGGCTCAAAAGAGCAATACGATTCCCAAACTAGCCACCAGGATCGCTACTCACAGGGGAAGGTCACCAGTATGTTTGCACCCAATAATGTGTTTGGTGCACGCTCAGAGGGCATTCGTGCCTAGGACTTAAGTACATTTATAGCATAATGGGATAAAGTTCAGGAGGGACACTGGACGAGTTGATATCACGGATACGCTGTAGTGGCGGTAAAGGACAAGTGGATGTTCTCTAACTGTGATGGGTTTGTACACACTGAAATAGAACTGGTGACAGGTGTCTCTAAGTGTTGGCTAAAAACAGATCATTATCTACCTTCAAAGCAACTTTTGGTAAAAAAATTAACATACCTGGTATCGATCTCATCGTAAACCTGCATCTGCTGTGATCCAACCTGTTGAACGTGAATTCCCATCCAGTGATTTTTTTTATGTAGAATTTAAAGTACTTAATGACCTCTCCTCTGTTACCTTTGATATACATGTATCTATATAGCTGTTGTGATATGGTTGTATTTTTGGTGTTATAAACGTTCTTCTATTGTTAGGTGAAAGTTTCATATTTAGAGATTTTAGTTTAATTCATAGTGATTACAATTCCAAACTTAGTCCCAACTCACTATACTTGTGCAGCATTTACACTATTGTTACACATGTCACTTTTGATATGACTGAAGAATAAAGTAGGTTAATGTGTCAGTGTATCCCTAATTCCATTCTATCTATCCTATCACTTGTAAATAGTTTATATGTTAGGTAATTTATTCCTACCTTAAATTTAGTTTCAACTCAAACATTTTAAAAATTCAGTTGACTATAGTAAACTAGAACAACATGATCTAGTGATTTTTGGTTTTAGTGAACTAAAGGGTATGGTCTAGTGATTTCTGGTTTTAGTGAACTAAAGGGTATGGTCTAGTGATTTCTGGTTATAGTGAACTAAAGGGTATGGTCTAGTGATTTCTTATTATAGTGAACTATAGTGAACTAAAGGGTATGGTTTAATGTTTTATGGTTATAGTGAACTAAAGGGGATGGTCTAGTGATTTCTGGTTTTAGTGAACTAAAGGGTATGGTCTAGTGATTTTTGGTTTTAGTGAACTAAAGGGTATGGTCTAGTGATTTTTGGTTTTAGTGAACTAAAGGATATGGTCTTGTTATTTCTGGTTTTAGTGAACTAAAGGGTATGGTCTACTGATTTCTAGTTACAGTTAAACTATAGCAAATGCTGTAGTGATTTCTCATTATAGTGAACTATAGTGAACTAAAGGGTATGGTTTAATGTTTTCTGGTTATAGTGAACTAAAGGGTATGGTCTAGTGATTTTTGGTTTTAGTGAACTTAACGGTATGGTCTAGTGATTTCTGGTTTTAGTGAACTAAAGGGTATGGTCTAGTGATTTCTTGTTTTAGTGAACTAAAGGGTATGGTCTAGTGATTTCTGGTTTTAGTGAACTAAAGGGTAAAGTATTGTGATTTTCAAATTAAAACTTTTCTAGTCAAGTCTTGTCATAGCGAATTAAGGTTACATGTGATATCTTATTAAGTCTATAGAATAGACTACTGGCAAATTACTATCTACTTAAGTTTTGTCATGGTAAACTAAAAATGAGATCTTCTTAAAGTGATCATTTGTTATCACATTTATAATCATGGCCATCAAAATATGATTGTTAGTTTTTATTGAAAGTTACCAGCCGGTACATATTGATATTGATGTTACATGCCTATATTTGATATACTATATGATAAATGTCGGTCATTAGACTAACAGGTAGTGTCTATAATACATAAAAGTTGATAACTATTACAATACATTTCACACATGTAAACAGGTCATTTAGAACACTTAACATGTATCCTCTCTTTGTGAAAAGAACCCCCAGTCATCAATTTTACATTTATTAGTAATCTTCTTTATATCAAGTGTATGAAAACTGGTTTTACCATGTGTATATTTTTGTATTATGTCAACAATATACCTAGGTCAATTATAAAGTCAAAATTAAGGTTTTATGATAATTAAGCCCATGATTCGGTATCTAGAATATCCACCCTACCCTAACATATAGTTACTGTCACTCTCATCTACATGTACAGTTTGTATAAATAAAGTGTGTATATTTTCTGCTTGTCCTCTTTTATTGGTGTTTAATATATTTCTACAATAAATATCAGATATATAATTGTCTCTATATGTCATTGGGGGCCATAGCTTTCTCAATTTTCTAAATGATTTATATAAACTTTCATTCAATATGTATTAATCAAGCTGCAAACTGAAAAAATGATGAAAATATAGAATTTTGTTTTATCTTCACAACACTAAGAATTCTGACCAATGACATCAACACAACTCTAAGAATTCTGACTAATGACATCTACACAACACTAAGAATTCTGACTAATGACATCCACACAACACTAAGAATTCTGAACAATGACATCTACACAACACTAAGAATTCTGACCAATGACATCCACACAACACTAAGAATTCTGACTAATGACATCAACACAACACTAAGAATTCTGACTAATGACATCCACACAACACTAAGAATTCTGACCAATGACATCCACACAACACTAAGAATTCTGACTAATGACATCAACACAACACTAAGAATTCTGACTAATGACATCCACACAACACTAAGAATTCTGACCAATGACATCCACACAACACTAAGAATTCTGACTAATGACATCCACACAACACTAAGAATTCTGACTAATGACATCCACACAACACTAAGAATTCTGACCAATGACATCCACACAACACTAAGAATTCTGACTAGTGACATCCACACAACACTAAGAATTCTGACCAATGACATGGACCTACAGTTATAATTACCAGGTCATAAATACACTTGTTCTGTAGTTTTGAAGACGTACATATAATATCTGTGGTTACAGTGTCTCCATATAGCTTTATGGAACTCCTTTTGCCTAGTGAATAAATAAAAATGATTGCCTAAATTAAAATGCTTAAAATCATCAATTTTTCATCAGATTATAATATATGTGTAATTTAAATCCATAGGCCCATAGTCATTTTCATGAAACCATTCTCATGCTCGAACATGAATTCTTTGCTCAAATCAAGTTTCTCATGTTGACACTTTCAAAAAGCAAAATTTAGACTGTGAAAATGAAATTAACTTCATTTCTCTTCAAAGTTTCTCCAAAACATTGAAGAATATGTAAAACTTGAATATTTCATCACTCACAGTAATAAAGTATAGGGTTAAGAATTGGGCTTCAGCGCAGAGAATTTGAGCATAAGAATGGTTTCATGAATATGACCCTTTACAAGCCTTTTAGGGATTTTGCAGATAAACAGACCAATATCGCTTTAAACTCAATCACAAAGCTGTTAACACTTTGTTCCTGGTCCCAACTTAACAGAACTTAAAGAATTTGTAAACATTCTTAACATAAGATTTATGCAAGTTTCATTTTTCTGTAAAAGATTAATTGTTTAATGCCAAAAGATATTTTCTCAAAAAATGCATACATATTTCTGTTTGCATTAATGCCAAATTTGAGGAAATTTAGCCCGAAATCTTAACTTGTGCATTGAGAAAGTTTTCACAGAAAGTTAAATGGAGCCTGTTGTTATTATGATGATTGCAATATGTCTTTTTAATAGATAGGAACACATTGAATAGGGCTTATTTTGATTGCTAAACCTACCGACTGATGATGACTAGTTCTGTAGCCAGCCTGTCCAATTTTGTCCCTTTTCAGAAATGACTACATCAAACACCATCTTGAACGTCCGTTTGTCCATATGCCAGACCAGTACAAGAAGCCGGTGGGAACCATGGATAACACCACCTCCTATAAGAAAGATTACATAGGTAAGTGTGGACACGAGAGGGTAGCCCTGTCATAGCTGTGATGAACATTTGTAGGGGTTGTGATAGATACGCCACATAAAAAGAGTGAAATAGTCAGGTTGGTTGTTTAACCATACTGTATTGAATCAAGATTTCACAAACTTCATGAGGTTGTATGAAAGCACATTGTTTGGCAAGTTATCACTTTCATTGAATCACAGAATGTAGTGAGATACACTGTTAGGTTAGTTGTCAATATCATCAGACTAGTAAATGAAGCCAGGTGACAAAGTGTTCACTCGAACCCATTTGACTAGTTAATGTGTTAACTCTCATTTTACTAGTTAGTGATATTGGACCAGGATGGCAATGTGTTAACTCTCATAAGACTGGTTAATGATATTGGACCAGGATGGCAATGTGTTAACTCTCATCAGACTGGTTAGTGATATTGGATGGCAATATGTTAACTCTCATAAGTCTGGTTAGTGATATTGGATGGCAATGTGTGAAATCTCATAAGACTGGTTAGTGATATTGGATGGTAGTGTGTTTACTCTCATAAGACTGGTTAGTGATATTGGATGGCCATATGTTAACTCTCATAAGACTGGTTAGTGATATTGGGTGGTAATGTGTTAACTCTCATAAGACTGGTTAGTGATCTTGGATGGCAATATGTTAACTCTCATAAGACTGGTTGGTGATATTGGATGGCAATATGTTAACTCTCATAGGACTGGTTAGTGATATTGGATGGCAATATGTTAACTCTCAAAAGACTGGTTAGTGATATTTGATGGAAATGTGTTAACTCTCATAAGACTGGTTAGTGATCTTGGATGGCAATATGTTAACTCTCATAAGACTGGCTAGTGATATTGGATGGCAATATGTTAACTCTCACAAGACTGGTTAGTGATATTGGATGGTAATGTGTAAACTCTCATAAGACTGGTTAGTGATATTGGATGTTAATGTGTGAACTCTCATAAGACTGGTTAGTGATTTTGGATGGGAATATGGTAACTCTCATAAGACTGGTTAGTGATATTGGATGGCAATGTGTTACCTCTCATAAGACTGGTTAGTGATATTGGATGGCAATGTGTTACCTCTCATAAGACTGGTTAGTGATATTGGATGGCAATGTGTTCACTCTCATAAGACTGGTTAGTGATATTGGATGGAAAAGTGTTAACTCTCATAAGACTGGTTAGTGATATTGGATAGCAATATGTTAACTCCCATAAGACTGGTTAGTGATATTGGATGGCAATGTGTTACCTCTCATAAGACTGGTTAGTGATATTGGATGGCCATATGTTAACTCTCATAAGACTGGTTAGTGATATTGGCCCAGGATGGCAATGTGTTAACTCTCATAAGACTGGTGAGTGATATTGGATGGCAATATGTTAACTCTCATAGGACTGGTTAGTGATATTGGATGGCAATATGTTAACCCTCATAAGACTGGTTAGTGATATTGGATAGCAATGTGTTAACTCTTATAAGACTGGTTAGTGATATTGGATGGTAATGTGTGAACTCTCACAAGACTGGTTAGTGATATTGGATGGTAATGTGTTTACTCTCATAAGACTGGTTAGTGATATTGGATGGCCATATGTTAACTCTCATAAGACTGGTTAGTGATATTGGGTGGTAATGTGTTAACTCTCATAAGACTGGTTAGTGATTTTGGATGGGAATATGGTAACTCTCATAAGACTGGTTAGTGATATTGGATGTTAATGTGTGAACTCTCATAAGACTGGTTAGTGATTTTGGATGGGAATATGGTAACTCTCATAAGACTGGTTAGTGATATTGGATGATAATGTGTGAACTCTCATAAGACTGGTTAGTGATATTGGGTGGTAATGTGTTAACTCTCATAAGACTGGTTAGTGATATTGGATGGTAATGTGTGAACTCTCATAAGACTGGTTAGTGATCTTGGACAGCATTATGTCTTTGTTATTTTTCATTATTAACTGTAAATGAAGCACCTATGATTCTGCATAATGATATAATAATGTACATATTTTTGTTATATTTCAAGTAGCAATGTCTTTTTACTCATGGATAATTTCCTGGTTTCAAATTTTAAACTCTTCAAAAGAAGTTTAATGAATTCATGAATATTTTCATTTCTCTTATTAGCGGTAACATTTATAATGTTTGTGTAACGTAGATATCGGTCCCATAGTGTCAGCCTTGCTGGTTTAAATATACAAAGTGAGTGCATTCATCCTACAGCAAATATTATCACTCGTTGCTTGGTGACATGGCTTACGTCTCTGATATTTTAAATATTGATCCTGGCAATAAGGAGTTTCACTAATTCTTTATAGGTCGTGTAAGGGAATTGTTAGCGTAGACAAAAGTCGTCAGTGTTACTTCCAGTCCTAGGTAGATAGCAGTGTCATCTACTCAGGCCGACTTACCGTGGTATATTGATCTACGAAACAAACGATTCTTCTGATAAGATTCATTCTCCAAACAATACTGTGTGGGCCACACTTCATCTCAGTATGCCTTCAGATAACAATCATTTTAAACTTTCTTTACAATTCTTTTCATTGAGGGACACTTCTGTTTAAACAGCCCTTGTCATCAATATAACAGATCTAGACAGTAGTAGATTTTTTTAGCAATCAAGAAAATGTTTTCATCAGGTTTTAGAATGTTACCTATGTAGCCGTAGTAAGTAAGGCACACAGTGATAGAGTAACAGGTAGTCAGGTATCTGTTAGATCCAAAGGCGTTGGACATATCACGGTAAGGTAATGACACGTTTAATTACGTGTAACTTGTAGTGAAGGTCTCAGAGCCGTGACTATTGATTAGGTACGTAGGTAGAGTTCCTCCTGTAATACACACTGTGAGACTTGTTCTCACCTGCGTGCCATCAAAATGGAAATAAAACCTTTCAGTATCGGTGTCCATGTTGTGTTGTGTACTTACAAAGCACTTCATACTTCCGTGGACAACAGTCCTGGTAGAGTGTTGCATACCTATGATACACCTTAGGATTCAGGCGACTATGTTGTAGATCAAATTCTTTTTAATGTGTTATGTACCCAGGGTATTGAGCCTACACAATATTGACTGTAGATGTTTGGTGGAGGTTAAAAACATATATTATACAACCTACATGAAAGCTGAACACTAAGCAACTCTTTATGGGCAGGCAATAACATATTGATCTGCTGTCTCTAGTATTACTGTAGATGTAAGCCAAGTGTAAAATCTTACAGAATAAATCGTAGACACTGGAAGAAAAATTACCGGGAAAAAAATGTTAGAAATGAAAATGAATTGGACTAAGCTATACTTAAACTGGTTATACATTTAGAATCTGTTAAGTTTAACATTATTTGATACATATACTGGTATATATACCATGTCAATGAACTAAATACATTATAGATTAATCTACACTGAGTTCAGGTAGGTTGATAAACCTAACTAATAAGGTAGTCAGTTGTTGATATCAGTATACTAATATATAAGCTACGTCTACCTAGCTGGGACGACAGAGGGAATGTTGTATTTATTTTATATAAAATGTAAACAACACTACATGACTGAGTTGGAGGAGTTGTTTGCCTGATCTGGGCTGGAGTACATATGTACATGCTGGAGGGGCCTAATCAGTGTAATATAACACAGCACAACAAACTCAGTTGTTTACATGTTGCCAAGGGGTGTGTTATGAGTAAAACCATGTCAGGGGAGATAACTCCTACATACTCTTCCCTAACAATTTCATGGTCCTACAGCCATGGTAATGACATACCAGCCAACTGACCTGCATTTGTGCAGGCAATCCTGCAAATGACCCCCATGACCTGTGCAAAGTATTGTTTATTTTAGAATATTCTGCATTTGGACTATATAGTCACCTATTTTAAACTTGGAATATTAAAATACTCCATAGAAAACATGTACATATATATATACTGGAATTTTAAAGGGCAAATTTCAATAATTTAAATGTCAAACTGTATTTTGACCATTTATGATAGGTTTTACCTGTATTTTGACCATTTTTGACAGGTTTTACCTGTTTTTTTACCATTTTTGACACCTATTACCCTGTTGAGAACTTCGCAGGTTTTTAGATAAGTATGATGCAATGTTTAAGGAACTGTAATTATACATACTTTTCAACACTCCTGTAATATAGTGCTATAACCTGTCTAAACAGAAACCTCTCTAAATCAGAAACTTGTATAAATTATGCTCCAGTGATAGTTAACATAAAAATTTCAATCATATTATTTAACCAAAACTCATGTCACAAGTAGAGGGATTCAAAATGATCGTCTGTAGACAAGATCTACTTTTAAAGATGTGTATAGTTTTCCAAATATTTTTTCAAAAAACATATTTTATGTTAAATCATTACATAACTGTACTTACAAAAAACAGATTTGGAACAACTTTGTATAGACTTTCAACTCTAGGGACATGATTTCTATGTATTTAGTAACAGAGCCTAATGTATGCTGTAATACAGACTTGTCTTCTCTAAATAGAAATACTGCTCACAAGGGTGTGCAGTTTAAACAGGTTTTATTATAAGTCAGTCATTTATCCTAAACATGTGTTATTTAATCATAAACAGGTTTCACTGTAAGTCAATCATATCCTAATTATATGTTATTTAATCATAACTACATTTTATTTATTTGTGTCACAGAGAAGAGAGGTGCACCCGCAAGGCCAGTGAAAATGGATGGACAAAGACAGGTGACCGGCAAATTTGAAGGGACACCCACATATAAATGTAAGTTGTCCATGTATTACATCTCAGCAAATTACTTAACAACCACTAGGTTACACAACCATACACGTCAACTTCTTTGTCATCTTTTTTATATGCAGAAGACCCTGATTAAGTTTAATTTGTGTAAGTCAGGTAATTAAGTGTTTCAGAACAACAAGATGTTTACCAGGTACAGGAAAAAGAGATGATTATTATATTTTGTGATATTTCAGAAGGAAAAGGTGTGAATCATGTCGATACATAAGAAGAAGAATAGGTGTTTATAATGCAGACATTTCAAAATTCTGTAGACCTGCAATGTAATATGCACGTGTAAATGAGACCAATAAGAAGCCACTTTTGCTTTGCAGCTGACTACAAGCCGTGGGATATGTCAGGTCGCACGGGTCCAGTGATGAACGCGGATGCCTGGGAGCCCCCAAATGCTAAGTTTGAGGGTGAGAGCACCATGCACCATGACTACATGCAGCACATTCAGCCCCGACGAAACCTCATCAAGCCCTCCGAGGCCACCCGCATGTCTGACCAGCCCTTCTTTGATCGTACTGACTACAGAGATTCCTACATCAAACACCCAATGGAGAAACGATTTATCCACCAAACAGAAGGATACAAGCCCCCACAGGCAGCGTTTGATGGACAGACAACCTTCAAACGAGATTTCTTAGGTCATACTGGGGACAAAACACAAAGCTTTAAACCAGAAGGAGTGGCATTCCAATCTGGTGCTCCTTTAGAAGACAGCACAACCAACCGTCACGACTATCAGAAATGGCCGATGCAACGCCCTTTTGTCCACGCACCAGATCAATACAAGCGTCCTGAGGGAATGATGGAGTCCAATACAACTCACAATGCTACCTACAGAGAGTTCCCAATCCAGAGGCAACTTGCCAAGCGCCCAGAGTCGGCTAACAAGGCAAGGAGTGCTGCATTTGATGGCAGCACAAGTTACGCCAACGACTACATCAAATGGAACATGGGACAGAAGAACATGCCTATGATGCGTGACGAGTACCAGCCAACCAATGCACCCTTCGAGGGCATGTCCACACAAAAGGCCCACTACATTGCCCATTCACAACAGCCAATGAGGAGCTTCAAGCCGGACAACACCGCTCTACAAAGCAATGCCAAATTTGAGGATGGTACCATGTATCGTACAGACTTCACACCCAAGAGAGTCACTATCTGTCCCGCCATTTCTCTGGATGGACCCACATCGGGTTTTTCATTTGCCCAAATCGATGGCAGAGGTCACCGACAGTATCAGCAAGTAATGGAAACCATCACCCCCTTAAACGCTGCCAGGCAAACTCCAAACAAATTAACAATGTCTGTGGCCTAAGGGGGGTAATCAGACATTAGCCCAAACTAGCAATCTAATTATATTGTCTGTGATATGATAATTGGACACCATGTTTTGTTGTTACACCATGTGACTGGTACAGGTCTTCAACAGGTCACCTAGAAAATACAATATCTCACACCTGGGTCCATTGCTATCTTCCCAACAGCAGTTCAAGTGTGTACAGCACTATACAACAATCACTTGTAAATCTATAACAGTTCAACTTGAAGAAAATGTGTGTGCTTCTGTGCAACAGCATTTCCAAGAATGAATGTTGAATGTCAAAGTGAGATGGGTTCTTCTTAGACATAGTAAATCTTTCAAAAAATTGAAATTACATGCCAATTTTATAACTGGTTTCTTGGTAAGCGTTTTGTACTATCAACTGATCATTGTCACATTATGTGCTGTGTAGTTAAGTTATCTTTTGGTAGGTTACCTGTTGTTATATTATTGAGAAGAAAAACAAAACATTCCACGATCATTAGAATTTTGAAGAGGACCCAGGCAGAGCTTGATACTCCATGCTCGAGTTACAGTGATTTATATATTTTCTTGTAATTTGTTATCATTTCTGCTAATTACTGTGTAGTTGCTGAAATGGGGAACGAATGCCATACCAGTCCCTTTCCAGGTTCCTTTTGAAATATGAAAGGAACAGAATTGGAATCTTTTGTTATTGACATCATTTAATGTACTCATTGTACCTGTAATATTTTGTACATATAATATTATAAATTTATTTACTGTTTATCAGGATATTTTCATTATAAAAAACTATTTTTGTTTGAATTATAGGATTTTCACACTATATTACATCTTCTGCATGTGATAAATCATTGCTTTTAACATTGCCGCTGTTGGGAGACCTGAGCCGAGTTGTCGAGATACGGGCCGGCATACAGCCTCGCCATCATGTGTACCTGTGCTATTATTGACTGCTTTAATTTAAAGCATTACCTGCTGCTTAATGTCGGAGGCCAAAGATCTTATATAGGTGGGAGTGTATTACACTTTTTTCATGTAATAACTCACAGCCCGGTATTTAAAATAATGAGTATTGTGTATTCACCCTGTTTGGCTGGCACACTATGATTTTTATGTATTAGTTTTACAACTGTTGATACTGCTGAACACTGGAGATGCAATTGTAAGGTTTTATCTTGTACAGTAAGTGCACGGGTCTAGTTTCATGTACGTGTGTCATTATTATAACAAACTCTCTGGGCCGTTAACTAGTTAGACAACACTATTTGGAGGGTGCTGTCAAAATATTGTTATTGTTTTGAAAAGGTTGTCATGCAATCTTTGAAAACTTCTTTTAATATTTGACCTATCCCTCAGGAATATAAAATAGTATTTCCTCTTGATTTGGTTATTTTTTGTATTTTTAAGATTTTTTTGGGAGAAATATTTTTCATTTTATTTCTTTGTTTTCGTGCCTTTAAATTGAAAACTATGTTATTGCTATGATTGATATTTCAAAACAAATTTAACACAAGTGATATTTTGTATTATTTTATGATTGATTCCATTTAGTAGTTGCACCTTTTGTTCATAAAAGTGCTACATATTTCTGAATTTATTTCAAACCACACAATGAATAACGTTCTCCTATGGAGTATAAGCAGTGTAGCCAACCTGTCCTATTTTATACTAGCCTCTTTAGCTATGGAGTAGATATTATCTTTAGATAATGAATATTACATGTGTTATTTATCTCCCGTTAGAGTAAAGCATTTTAGATCCTGGGTATTTATTTTTTTGGAATTCTTGTCTGTGATATGCGATCCTTGTTTTGCCATAGGTGATTGGGACACTGGTATGTAGACGACCAGTTTGTGTGTATGTACCATAGTAGCTGTGATAACCAATAGGAACTCTCTTTTAACCATCGTCCATTCACCTTTGTCCCCGTCATCTCTCAATACTAAGTCACAGTGACCTAGTTTATATATAATAATAACTGATATAAACAATTGGTGAATTTTATGGCATTTCAATAATGTAAATAAATCGTGTTAAGAAATGATGTACAAATTAACGTATTTCATTTCATTGGTATATTCATTTTAAGCTGGAAAGTAAATAAATACCTGCCTAATAGACTTAATTTGTTTTTGTCTTTATTTCTCTACTAGTATTTCAGTACATATTAAATGTATTGAAACAAACGAAACAATAGTGACCTTCTGTGATCACAGGTTGAGGTTTTATAAAGTCAGCTGTAGACAGGGTCAATAAACAACAAGTAAATACCGAAATGTTTAATTCGAACACAAAATTGATAAGATATGAGAGAAAATTAACAAAGGAAAAATATCGAAAAATTTACGAAGATGCCTTTGAAAAAGTACAACGAGAATAAAGACAGACGTTCCTGAAGAGTAAGCGTCTTCTGCTTCATCGATGTCACCCTCCTTGTAAATCTAGGTCAAATCCAAGTAATGTCCTTATACAAGAACTGGGGTAGTGACAACTATGCCATTAGACACAATAATGAGCATAATCAAATCATAGACTTTCGTATCACACAAGGAAATAGCACATTTCCTTATGAAATCATCATGGCGACCATACAACTCGTCCATACTCCACAATAACCCGTAACTTAGAGACTTTGTAAGGTTGTCGACATCTGTCACGGAAGTCATGATATCTTGAAGAATCTCCTATATATCTGATCAACTGCGACATGTAAACACTTACGATTAAGGAGCGTGGATGTTATTATCAAGAAAGGGAGAGTTCACGATCGGGAAAGTCGAAATCGCCACGCTTATTGCACAACATATAATGTAAAAAAACACCTCAAAAAATGATTCAACAAAAAGTCCAATGACCGTTAATGCTTACATCAGTTTCATAGCCTTATCAAATTTCATACAACAGACTTTGAAAAATTGTAATTCAATATAACGAATACTTTACATATATGCAAGTTTATCATTTTTCTCTCTCTTTTTTTGCGATAGTATCTATGTTAGAATGTCACTTATAGCAGGTTTTGTTTACATCGATTCTTGATATGAGGCTACGTTCACGTGTCTGCAGCCTTACAGTGCTGATATAAAACTAACACGTGTTTATCATTTCAGTATGCTTATGTGTTTAAGACTTTAAAACTTCCAAGTCTCTCGATATCATATATATATTTTACAACCTTGGATATTTTCTCATAGCCAAATCCAGAGGTTCACAGTTAGCCTTTTGATTGGTTCCAGACTTCAAAACTTACCGAGTGCATGGATGATTAGCCAGCCATCATGAGATATATTTGGTAGTTAAGAATGAGGAGCCGGCTTGTGAGAATAGGCAGAGTAGTCTCGAGCTACGATGGCCGACAGAGGACTGTCAAAACGTTCAAAACGTTGCTTGACTAATGACTTTTGTACCTAAATATGTAACAACATTAAGTACAAATAGCTGTTAGTGGTGACATAATAGTACACATTACCACGGACTTAGATAACTAATCTAATTCCGTGATATTACCAGAGAGAAAAAATGATTAGGTACAAAAATTGGCGTCACTAACAACATATTAAGGTACAAAAAGTCGTTAGTCAAGCAACGTTTTGACAGCCGGCTGTCGGTCCTTGTACTCGACGGATTCTTTGACAAAAGGAAAATGTGAATGCTAGGGACATGTTAACATAATCCAGGTATAGTGAATCCAATAACCCTGGTTCCGAAGCACACGTTTGAGTTTTCCACCGTCAGATTTGCATTATGGACTTTTCTTGGACCTTTTTTTTGCAATAACTCTGTTACCAAGGAAACATAAACTACTAATGGAGTGTCTATATCTAAATATTGTTTGTCAGTGAAAACAATAGGACATTTTGGAAGTGATTAATGGTACACATGTACAGTACTCATACATTTGTAAATTCGTTACAGAAAAATCCCTTCCTCCAGTATTACCAGACATAACCACGACCTTAGATAGTCCAATTATACATATACTTTGATTGTAATAGAAAAGAATTCAAATATATTGGAAGTAAAACAGTTGTAAAATATTTGAAATTGATTTGAATTTGAAAGTTAAAAAATAATAAAACGTCAGTAAGTTCCATCATTACGAATGTTGAGTGTCTGTATAATAAACTATTTTGTGTTGACTCAAACTATTTGCTTTTAATGGTTAAAGCGAGGACAGCCGAGGCATATCCACTTCTGTGGAATTATTGTTATTTATAAATAACTTTTTTATATTTATTATTTTATAAAGGATCTACAAAATTATTACAAAATAAAATAAGACGTTTTATCCAATGCCATATATATCAACATCAAAATCAAAACTATATATCTCTTATGCGATATCTTATTAAACATTATCAGCTTCCAGCTATAAAACGTTACTTAGAACAGTTAATAACAGGTGAAAACACAGGTGAAATATAGGTAAATACTGACAATACTACCAAGACTATAATCCTCCTAACAACATTCTTCTCCCCATATTTTTTAAAGTGGGGGATCGAGAACAAGACATTGAGTTTGATTACACCAACAACGTGTGGCCCCTATTAGTGCGATTTGGCGTGGTCCGCCGGGGATGGCAGCCAAGCGGAAACTCTGGAGTAGCTGCTAAGCTGTTTCCTTCTTTACCTCTGCGCAACTTCCTGACCAGACGCCCGGAGCCGATATATGTTGAATTGCCAGAAGAGAGTTTATCAGAGTATAAACTTTTTTTAAGCATGGAAAATACATAATTTTTGTTTTCATTGATGAGTATATTAGTCTCACTTAGTTTTTGATCGACTAAACAATACTTTATACAACACATAAAGGACGTTAGAAAAATTGACATGTTGCCAAAAGCTTCTGTTTATGCATCTTTAAAAAATACAGAGAGAGCATTGAGTCGATGTCAGTAAGGTCAAATTTCATACAAATATTTCCGTGCAATAGTTGTTAAAAAAAACAAAATCAAAAGATTTCTTCAGTTATAAGTCTAGTTTGGTCGTTACTTGGTGGAAGGAAATACAACGCTAGAACACCTCTCAGTATAAATTCAAGATTCAAGATTATATATAAATGAGCAATCATTTTTTTCTTTAAGTTTATTGATGTCGTCATTTTTGACGATTACAATAACTAAACAGACATCTTGGGTATTTGGTATCCTTGTAGGCTTGTCGTCTTACAGGCAAAGCAAGCATGCTCCTAACATTTAGTCTCTCCGATGGTGCATGCTTTTCTGGTGACGAAACGGAATGCCTTGACAATTTCTTCTCTTTGAAGGAAGTTGCCTCATCGGAGTAAGCTAGGCATACCCTGGATATTTGGTCTCTCTGAAGGTAAATTGTGTCCTAGTCATACCCTGGATATTTGGTCTCTCTGAAGGTAAATTGTGTCCCAGTCATACCCTGGATATTTGGTCTCTCTGGGGGTTTATTGTGTCACAGGCATACCCTGGATATTTGGTCTCTCTGAAGGTTTATGTGTCCCAGTCATACCCTGGATATTTGGTCTCTTTGTAGGTTTATGTGTCCCAGTCATACCCTGGATATTTGGTCTCTCTGAAGGTTTATTATGTCACAGGCATATCCTGGATATTTGGTCTCTCTGAAGGTGTATATGTCCAAGGCATACCCTGGATAGTTGGTCTCTCTGAAGGTTTATGTGTCCCAGTCATATCTGAGATATTTGGTCTCTCTGAAGGTTTGTTGTGTCCCAGTCAAATCCTGAATATTTGTCTCTGTGAAGGTTTATTGTGTCCCAGTCAAATCCTGGATATTTGGTATCTGTGAAGGTTTATTGTGTCTTAGTCATACTCTGGATATTTTGTCTCTCTAGATGTTTATTGTGTCCCAGGCATACCCTGAATAGTTGGTCTCTCTGAGGGTTTATGTGTCCTAGTCATATCCTGGATATTTGGTCTCTGTGAAGGCGTCTGTGTCCCAGTCACACCAGGGATATTTAGTTTCTCTAAAAGTTTATGTTTCCAATCATAACCTGGATATTTGGTCACTTTGAACGTTTATTGTGTCCCAGTCATACCCTGGATATTTGGTCTCTGTGAATGTTTGTTGTGTCCCAGTCAAATCCTGGATATTTGGTCTATCTGAACGTTATTGTGTCCCAGTCAAACCGTGGGTATTTGGTCTCTCTGGAGGTTTATGTGTTTCAGTCATACCCTGGATATTTGGTATCTCTGAAGGTTTATGTGTCCCTGGCATACCCTGGATATTTGGTCTCTCTGAAGGTTTATGTGTCCTAGGCATACCCTGGGTATTTGGTCTCTCTGAAGGTCTATGTGTCCCAGTCATACTCTGGGTATTTGGTCTCTCTGGAGGTTTATATGCCCCAGTCATACCCTGGATATTTGGTCTCTGTGAAGGTGTATTGTGTCCCAGTCATACCTAATTGGTATTTGGTCCCTCTGGAGGTTTATATGCCCCAGTCATACCCTGGATATTTGGTCTCTGTGAAGGTGTATTGTGTCCCAGTCATACCCTGTTTTTTTGTCTCTCTGGAGGTTGATGTGTCCCTGGCATACCCTGGATATTTGGTCTCTCTGAAGGTTTATTGTGTCCCAGTCATACCCTGAATAGTTGGTCTCTCTGAGGGTTTATGTGTCCCAGTCATCCTCTGGATGTTTGGTCTCTCTGAAGGTTTGTTGTGTCCCAGTCATACCCTGGATATTTGGTATCTCTGAAGGTTTATGTGTCCCAGTCATACTCTGGATGTTTGGTCTCTCTGAAGGTTTGTTGTGTCCCAGTCATACCCTGAATAGTTGGTCTCTCTGAGGGTTTATGTGTCCCAGTCATATCCTGGATATTTGGTCTCTGTGAAGGCGTCTGTGTCCCAGTCACACCAGGGATATTTAGTTTCTCTAAAAGTTTATGTTTCCCAGTCATAACCTGGATATTTGGTCACTTTGAACGTTTATTGTGTCCCAGTCATACCCTGGATATTTGATCTCTGTGAAGGTTTGTTGTGTCCCAGTCAAACCTGGATATTTGGTCTCTCTGGAGGTTTATTGTGTCCCCGGCATATTCTGGATGCTTGGTCTCTCTGAAGGTTTATTGTGTCTCGGTAATACCCCAGATATTTGGTATCTCTGAAGGTTTAAGTGTCCTAGGCATACCCTGGGTATTTGGTCTCTCTGAAGGTCAATGTGTCCCAGCCATACTCTGGGTATTTGGTCTCTCTGAAGGTTTATGTGTCCCCGGCATATTCTGGATATTTGGTCTTTGTGAAGGTTTATTGTGTCTCAGTCATACCCTGGATAGTTGGTCTCTCTGAAGGTTTATGTGTCCCAGTCATACCTTGGTATTTGGTCCCTCTGGAGGTTTATGTGCCCCAGTCATACCCTGGATATTTGATCTCTCTGAAGGTTTATTGTGTCCCGGTCATATCCTGGATATTTGGTCTCTGTGAAGGTCTATGTGTCCCAGTCATACTCTGGGTATTTGGTCTCTCTGGAGGTTTATGTGTCCCAGTCATATCCTGGATATTTGGCTCTCTAAAGGTGGTATTGTGTTCCAGGCATACCCTGGATATTTGGTCTCTCTGAAGGTTTATTGTTTCTCAGTTATACCCTGGTTATTTGGTCTCTCTGGAGGTTTATGTGTCCCAGTCATACCGTGGATATTTAGTCTCTTTGAAGGTTTATGTGTCCCAGTCATATCCTGGATATTTGATCTCTCTAAAGGTGGTATTGTGTCCCAGGCATACCCTGAATATTCGGTCTCTCTGAAGGTTTATTGTGTCCAAGGCATACCCTGGATATTTAGTCTCTCTGAATGTGTGTGTCCCAGTCATACCCTCTCTGAAGGTTTATTACATGTTTCTGGCATATCATGGATATTTGGTCTCTCTGAAGGTGTATGTGTCCCAGGCATACCCTGGATATTTGGTCTCTGTAAAGATGTAATTGTGTCCCAGAAATATCCTGGATATTTTTCTCTCTGAAGGTTTATGTGTCCCAGACGTATCCTGGATATTTATCTCACTGAAGGTTTATGTGTCCCGGGCATAACCTGGATATTTGGTTTCGTCGAAGTATTGTTTTCTCCTTGGAATCGATCTATTTAGAACATATCCTAATTTTCTATATGTTTAATATCGTAGCCAATTAGGATCTTTTTAATTGGATTACCCTTGGATAAGAAATGTATTGTTCAACGATATTTATCACTATATTGTTTCTTTGGAAGAAAACAGGCTTGCTTTGAATATTTTGTATCGTTGAAAGTGTATTGCCTCATCAGGGCATACAAATGCATGTCATTGATATTTGATACCTAAAACGGTCTATTGTCTCATGAAGACAAAACTTTTATTGTTCTCTGAAATGGTTCACTACGATATGAATACGATTGGCTGGCGTAGTGGACAACGCGTTTGGTTTTCTTCAAGACGGCTGGGGTTTAATTCCTCAACTGGACGTCAAAAGGGATTTGGGTCAACTGCCCGACAGCGTAGGTTTTCTCCGATTTACTTCCATACAACAATCCCCGTGTGCAACATCCGGGCTAGCGATCGCGATTAGTGTCTGTTGGTAAAATTTGTTTCAGAACCTTTTGCAAATTAAATAAAGTGTATATTTATTAATACAAAAAGGAGCGAATTAAATGGATGTCTCGACGGTGACTTTTATATTATTTGCAAGGGGGATGTCTCAACAAAAATAGTTTCTAATCTGGTAGGGGATGTCTCGACGAGAGTTAATAACATTATCTCCAGGGCTTACGCTCACTTTCGCTATCTGCACCCCTGGAATATGTCATAGCAAAATTGAAGGCTCAATATGCGGCACTTTGTTGATGAGACCAGAAGACTAGTTCGAACCTTTGATGTACATCACAAGAATATCGCGGTCGCGTAATGGTAAACATGACTGGCTTTAAAGTCGGGTGTCGCTCCTCTGTAATCTTCAAAGGACATGCATCAGCCTAGCCATTGGCCAGAGTTGTATCTACCCGAGACAAATCAAACAGCTTTCTTCGTGCCTTCAGTTTTGCTATGACATATTCCAGAGATTCAGCTAATTTTAGAGATTTTTATTATCACTCAGGCACACTATTGTGAGCAACAAGAGGTCATCCTAAACATTATTATACTCAGTTTACAATACTATTACGATGGTATAATACATAGCATTACATTCACACATACCATGCGTTCACACAGTGGTATAGCAGACACTGATGCAACCATCTTACAGTACAATCCTACAAAACTTGTATTACAGTATTGCACAGGGGTGGAAAGAGCGAAAGTGAGCGTTACTCATGTAGTACCGAGGATGTGGAAATATGTGCCGACGGTGACTTTTAATATTATTTTTAAGGGAATGTCTCGACGGTGACTATTATATTATTTGTAAGGGGGTGTCTCGACGGTGACTATTATATTATTTGTAAGGGGGTGTCTCGACGGTGACTATTATATTATTTGTAAGGGGGTGTCTCGACCAATACATTTATACCATTTTGTAAGGAAATGTCTCGACGGTGACTATTATATTATTTGTAAGGGTGTCTCGACGGTGACTATTATATTATTTGTAAGGGAATGTCTCGACGAGCACTTTTATATTATTTGTAAGGAAATGTCTCGACGAGCACTATTATATTATTTGCAATGGAGTTGTTTCGACAATTTTTTCCCTCTGTGACATATTCCAGGGGTGCAAAGAGCGAAAGTGAGCGTAACCTGCCGACGGGTACTATTATACTATTTGTAAGGTGATGCCTCGATAAAGACTATTAAAACATTATGTCTCGACGAAAACTATTATATCATTTTAATTGGTTGTCTAAACGTGGACTATTTATTATATAATGTGTAAGGGAATGTTTCCACGCGGACTATTATTATATCTGTAATGGGATGTTTCGACATGGACTATTTTGTAAAGCGACAACATGACAAGATTTATTTTGGTATATGATTTGGAAAGGGATCTCTCGACGATGATTTTTATATCATATGTAAAGGATGTCTCGACGAGGACTTTTATATAAATTGTAAAAGGATATCTCGACGGTGACTTTTATATAAACTTATAAAGGGCTGTCTCGACGGTGACTCTCATATATTTTTTGTAAAGGGCTGTCTCGACGAAGACTTTTATATCGACGAGGACTTTTATATAACTTGTAAAGGGATGTCTCGACGGTGACTTTTATATAAACTTGAAAAGGGATGTCTCGACGGTGGCTTTTGAATAATTTTGAAAAATTTACGTTGTTATCGGTTAGGAGATGTCTCGGCGAAGACTAAATTACATTAATTCAAATGAGAATATTGACGAGGACTATCATAATTATTTAAGGAGATGTCTAGACGAAATGTACTGTATTGTCTTTTTTTGGTACGTGGATGGGACTCAACTTGCTTGTCATTTTAACCAACGACCAAGGATCATATAGGTCTTAAATGTTTAATGTTTTATTATAATTTTTGAAATGTTACTAAAAACCTTATTTATGTACAGTCCTTTTACATGTTCTGGACGACCCACTACTTTATCAAAAATGAGAACAACGTTGAAATAAAATTAAACATTAAAACAATAATCCCTTCGGCTAGTTGAAGTCGAATGCAGTAAATATACTGACCACGTCGTGAATGTATTGTCTACAGCTTTTCGTCTATATATACCCATTTTAATTACTTCGCATCCTACATCAGTTCGTAAAGATCCGGTCTTACGAAGGATTTTATCGTTGATATTTCTTTTTTGACCTATATATTATGTATACTTTTTAGATAAGAAGAATGTAAAAACTCTGCTGTTAGTTCTAGTTTGGATTGATTTATACAATTTTACTCAAAGTTTATAGGAATAGACCATAAAACAGCCTCTAGTAGAGTGATCACTGCCTTGGGCCTGACTAGTTCCCGGACGGGTTGCCGGTGACGTCGGATCTACCGTCCCGACAGGTGCTACCGTGTCTCGCATCAGTCATAGATCACAGCCCTACTAAATAATAGTGTAACTCTAATAACGCCAATCAGACGAGATAATCCTAGCGTGCGTTTTGTTACTTCTGATCCAGTGTTATTATAGCCGCTCTGTGGTCGAGTGACGATAACATATGTGTATTATACAGTTTAAATATTGAATTTGATACACACCACGATATACAGGATGATCCCCTCCAAACGCTGCCCTTCCGTTACCTTCCCATTTAAAAACAGTTTACCTCGCGGTCTGTGGACTTGTTAGAAAACACATGTAGCGTTTATCAATTTTGTAATTTCCTGTTATCCATATTTTAATTTTTCTGAAATATACATGCAACGAAACCCACAGAATGCTGACTACCACACTACACAATGTCAGGACTAGCGAGGCGGACGTGCTGAGGGGGTAGCTAAGCCGGAGGAGGGGCGACATTGTCACAGGTCCACGGCAATTAACAGGTAGGCCAAACCTCGGGGTCGACCGAGTCATTCGTTAATTATTTTGATGATATCTGTACCATTTTCAACGATATTTTGTCTAGATTAGTTGTGGTGCATGGTGTTTAAATCATGAGCATTCCCAATATGAGTTGAAAATGTTTTAAAGCATGGATTTTTGCCGGGTGCTTAATTCTATTACAGTATTAATCCGAACATTATGATAACATTTTGCCAAAAAGTGGAAGAAAATGTTTCTCGTATGACACAAAAAAAGCTTATTTTATATAGTTTCTCGGTAAAAAAAACCAACATATGTCATTGATATTAATCGCATTTATATAATTTTGCACCAAATATTGCGCTTAACCTGCTATGACCTTTCCGACATGCTACATCACAGAAAGCGACCTCAACATCCAATTCCGACGTAATTCTTGTAGCCGACATGAAACCAAAAGATTTCCAGGACAAGCATGGATAAGTTCCAACGCCAGTTTCAAAAGTCGTTTTTCCGTTACCAAGACTGATCAGATCCTTTAGTATCGTTTGGTAAACACAGGAGGTTTAAGCAAACAAAATAGGTAGATTGACGGCGAGTTGTACAATACATACCTATTTTCCCCCTCGTAAACTTCCAGCTATGCGACATTAAACTTAACATGGCTCTTTATCCTTCATCTTTATTCTTTTGTATTTTAAAACTTATTTGAAATATTTCGTTCAAATTGTTCAATTCAACCAGTTTTTGTTTTGTTTACGATCACTTTGTTATATAAACAGCAGAATAAAAACAATTTTTCAAGAAGTTCTTTATTGATATGCATCAGTTAAATGCACAGACAGATAAACACGTATACTTGTTTTCCGTTGTTGATGTCCAGTATATACAAGTGCTTTGTATCACGGCCTATTTAAGGATCCCTGTACCACTGCCAAAAACTGTAAATAAATATTGGAAACTTTTTTTCCGTCATGACTTTAGCTTTAATAAATCATTTCTGAAAAAGGAAACCATACCTGACAGGATTTTTATGGGAAATAATAAAGATAAAATAATCAAAATATAATAAACAATAGTGTTTTGAGTGTAAAAAGGAAGTGGGATAGACCGGGATTCGAACACCAGACATCAGATTTTAACCGATTGAGTTACCTGGTCGTTGGAAGTGTCTTGGCCCAACTGTTCTACAGTTTTATCTAAACGGAAGTTAAAGGGAGGTTACTGTATATAGGAAAAACACGGCGCAGTGGGACAGGGATCCTTAAGTGATGAGCCGAGCTGTAGGTTTGGGTGGATCCCTATTCGATACGCCTAGTGATGATAAACTGCCGTATTTATTACTGTAGCGACAGATAATGATGTGATGATGTTGCCACGGTATAATCTCCATCTTACCCACCCCTGCCCCTCTCCAAGCTACATCCCCCTCATCGCGAGATTACACACCTCTCCGACGAGCTCTTATAGCCGACACAATCTTACTCCATAACTGTTTACGTGTCTTATAAATGACACTGGCATGCAATCAAACTTGTGTTTATTTTCCAGTGAAATGTTTCCGATGATTATCACCCCCAAGACTGTATATATCAATACATAACGAAGGACGTATCTGACCATGCACGTGTTCTGCAATGTTGTTCTCTGTCACACGAGTGCGTATGCTCATAACCTTCATTAACTTTCTATAAATAGATAGCAAATTACTGGCACGTGTCAACCTGCATTTTAATGCATTAACTAGAAGGTTTACGACTCCCACGTATCTTCATCACTATGCCAAAAAATTCTAGATTTATTTTATTGCCGAAAACGTTTACATGCATCGTGCACGTGCCTACTATGCGTTATTGTCTGCATTGAAAATTTCAAGTTTTTTTCTTCGCAATGCCAGATAAATGTTTTTTATCAACAAAGTGAAATGTTTTTTTTTAAATGCAGTATGTATGGCGGTAGAACAATAATAATACCACTTTGTATTTCAACGTTAACGTTTTAAGTGGAAACAAATATTCAAACGATCTGTGGTGTTATTTGTGTTATAGAAATCAAAGTGAAAATGGAAAGAATAGAGAAACAGGTGGTCACCATGGAGAAAACTCTGGACTCCGCCAGAAGGTGGCGCTCGTTTTCCGTATGTTTGTTGATTGTGATTATATTCCTGATGGCGGCCATTGCTACCGCTATAGTGTATTACGAACTGATTATGCGGCCCAAGAAGCTTGCCCACGAGGTTATTATTCAGGAAACAGTTGATATCGAGGAGGAGCCAACGGAACCGTCGATGTTTCGTGATTTAACAAAACTTGAAATGAAAAGATTGAAGAAGTACTTGTATACACATCGTGTGTTCAACCTTAAATACACTGAACCCGTTGTTATAAGCTCCAGCTTCATGTTTCTCGCTGAACTTCATCTTCCTAACAAATCCCAGGCATTGGACACGTTTAATTCACTTCATAAAGCACCACCTAGAGAGGCAAAAGTTGTGCTATTCAGGGGAGATAAGAAGATTCCTGTTATCGAAGAATATGTTGTTGGACCGCTTGCAAACATAACGTACCATCGTTTACTTGTGTCGAAACATTACCAAAGACCGGCACCATATCTCTTCAGACCGAATAGCCAAGCGGAATACGCGGAGGTGAAGAAACTGTTGGTTGAAGTTGACAACATCATTAAATACGTTTTACTGGAGAGTTATGATGCGAGCTTTTTCAATTGTAACCGGAAATGTTTGGTCATGCAACAATGGACAGCCGTCTCGCCGGCGGTGTCCGGAAGTGACGTACGCAAAGTATGGTACTGGGCACACCACTCTACCGAGTATTATCTTTTCAATCCTGTTGACTTCTTCATCCTCTTTAACTTAGACGGAAAGGACCCAAGCAAATATCACGTCGAGACCATCTGGTATAACGGACAGTCTTTCGACACAGCTGAGCATTTAGCAGATGCCTTCACAGCGGGGACTATAAAGAAATCATCCATGATATTTCCGAAGGAAAATCAAATGCTTTTCTCAACCCTTAATTTAAGAGGGAACCAGTTTCCTAACAAGAACATGCGTAGCCCGAAGCAGGTGGAACCAGACGGCAGGCGTTACAACCGGAAGGACAGGCACATTACTTATATGGGTTGGGAGTTCGATTTCCGGATGTCCACAACTACTGGACCTCAACTGTTTAACATCAAACACATGGGACATCGAATTGTTTACGAACTGAGTCTTCAGGAAATGTCGTCATTCCATTCTGGATTTAAACCTTGGAACAGGTATTCTGATATGCTGTATAGCAACAGTCTGATGGGGTATCAAGCTCGTAATCTCGTTCCGGGAGCGGATTGTCCTCCATCTGCCTCCTTTGTTAGTGCTACCCACTGGACGGAACATCGGAGTGAGCCTGTCACTTATGAACGTGCATTCTGTTTGTTTGAACAGAGCACAGGTGTGCCACTGAGGCGCCACCACGCGTACGACAGCGTTACTGGTCGCTTTTACGGCTCGTTAGAGGATATAGTTCTCGTTCTCAGGACTATCATCTCAGTATACAACCAGGACTGTGTTGTTGATTTTATTTTTCATCAAAATGGTGCTTTGGAAGTAAAGACGTCGTTAACAGGTTATATGATGGCCATGCTTCACTCCCTTCCTGAAGGAAGATATGGCTTTCAACTTCGCGATAGACTCATAGGAACAGTTAGTCAACACGCTTTCAATTTTAAAGTCGACTTGGATATTCATGAAACAAAAAACCGATACGAGACATTGCAATTTGAACCCCATTCAATAAACAACAACGATTGGTCAACTGAAAAGAATTCAAGATACGAACAAATAAAATTTACCAGAAATTCAAAGATGACAGAACTTCACACTTTGTATCGACAAAATGCCAGCGTTCCTATGTATCATATATTTTACAACAAAGGTTATAAAACAACGTACAATGATCCGAGAGCCTATCGCTTACAGATCGATGGCGGATTGACACAACTTCTGTCACAGGGTACCGGGAACGAGCCTTCGATATCGTGGGCGCGGTATCAGATGGCGGTGACTCGCCGGAAAGACGACGAGGGACAAAGTAGTTCAATCTATGCTATGTGGGATAAGAAAGAGCCAATTGTGAATTTTCAGAGTTTCCTTGACGACAACGAAAGCATTGTGGATACAGTAAGTTATCTTAATTTATAACGTTTAATGTAAACTTGTTGTTATAAATTATATGACATAAATGCACTGTACTAAAACAAGTCTATACATCATGTCATATATCTGTAACGGTTTTCTGACAAAATATATAAATCTTATTTTAAAGACTCATCAATTAATCACGATGTGTTTAACATAGATGCAACATGTCATTTATAAATAACCCATTTTTTCTTTTCTGAGAAGTTCTTTTTAAACAACCATTACGATTTTCTATGTGACGTTTCGATGTTTAGTGCGATATTTACACTGTGTCTGACATCTGACATAAAAACCATCATGTAGCATATTTGTAACCAATTTTCCAACTAAGATGTTAAAATCTAACAACTTGTGACGACTGTGTCTGATTTTTGTGTGATCATGGTTATACCGTTTGTCTGAAATAAACACATGATTGTATATTTATGACATTAACATTGTATTATAACCTTTGTTATAAAAAATTGTTTACGAATTAATAGATAATATATACAGAACCCGGTAAAGTTCTATGTTACCTATGGGTTTTTTCTTTGACTCTTACATCTCTATAGCGTCTGATATATTTCACCGATACGGACATTTTATTAATTGTAACAGTTTAAACTCTAACAATATTTATTGGGTTTTTTTCCAGCGAAACTTAAGATTTTAGAGAGAAAACGATTGATTTTTGTTTGTCCTGGCACAAAATAAGACTTATAATTTTTCACACTAAACCGACCGACTAGAGAGCAGGTTTAAATATGAAAAATAACAATGAGCATTGTCAATACTGATGTCATTGACACCCTGATATTCTCTTGCTTTAAAGTTGCAATACAGCATTCCTTGTTTCAACGTTTATTGACGGAAGACAGATGATCTGTTCGTGAAAGCCAATGTTTCTAGAGAGATAAACGTACCGACAGAATATTCTTGGTTTCTTGTTGAGTCGGCCATGGATTGAACATTTCATATTTTCACCCGTGCTATGGACTCGTGATTTTTTTTTTTTTTTTACCTCACTCAACTGTGATTAGTGAAGAATCTAATATTATCCTCAATATATCCCTCCTCCATATGGATAATGTGTTAGATCAATGTTTTACAAGCTTAATTACATATTTATATAAATATTACAAGTGTACTATTTTCATAATTGTTAAAGTTGAAAACATAATATTCATGTCCCGGGATTAGGAACGTCACTTTCAGATAATTTACACAAAAACACTCATGTTTCTATGCTGAAAATTTCAACGAATGTATCATTAAGTTAACAATGCTTGATACAATTGAACAGCACAGCTGATATAGCGTTATATCTCCAGCCCCCTTTAAATGATAACTACGTTAGCCTATTAGGGCAATCTGGTGTTTTGTTACGATATTGTTACAATGAGATATCTACTGATTTCAAAACTTGTAGATAACTTTATCAAAACAAACTAACGAGATAGCTATACAGTAACTTCACGATAACCTGCTTACAGCTAAGACATAACTATGATAAGCTTTCTAAATACACTACTGGTAAACATTGTTCCTACTGACACCGAGAACATTGTTATTAGGTCAATGTATCACTATTTTAAATTATAATTGGCCTACATGCTATACCTCCTCACTGTCACACTGCACAAGGTTATTTAGTTGATGTGTACCACTGCTTTAACACAAACTACTGGTATACCTTTATTTAGCTAACTTTCACACAAAGAGTATATTGTCAATTAGTTGAGGAGGTTCAAGGTTTTACACACACTACTGGTTTACCAACATCACCTGTTGTTCTGTTGTTTTCGTTTTGCTCCTTTAAAATGACCATCACTACATACGCCACAGTTGATTGCCTTATTCTAAGTATCGGGGATTTCCTAATAGATGTATCCCGCCGACCAATTATCTATATAGATAGGTTTGTTACCGGGTGTTTACCTTAAAATAATAGTAGTGATGTAACCATGACCTGCTTTACTACTGATTATAGAATTGTTCACTTTGTCTAAAACCGTTTTTGACACATGATGACTGGTAACCGGTACGACGTGTTGTATTGGTAACGCCCACCTTCCAGAACATCCGCTTCCTCCTCCAGCTTTTTGTCTGGGTTAAACATGTCTTTCTTTTGTGTCTGTTTAATCTTTTTTAAATTTTGTTTATCTAATGCTTTTATTTTTTAAGATGAACATTGGACTCCTGGTCTGTCCTTGCGTCATAATGCTGTTGTATGTTTCAATTTATCCTTCTTAATACATGTCATTCATTTCCGAAATGGAATTAGGATAGACATTTTTTTATATTGATAAAAGATATTTAGAGGATATTAAGTTTAATTCTACAGTGTCATTGTCGTCCTGTGGTATTTATATTTTGTATACATATAAACATGTACCTGGTAACAATTTAATGCGTTGCTATGTTACCGTTACAGGATCTGGTTGCCTGGGTAACTCTCGGACTTCACCACCTACCACAGATGGAGGATCTACCACTTATTTCATCAATTGGCAAGAGGCTATCATTCTTTTTAACTCCATTCAATTACCACGACTCTGACCCATCCATGGCATCCAGGGACGCAATACGCATGTCATATGATGGGACTTCCGGTACCGATCAAGCTGTTAGAGTTGAAAATTATGGATTACCGAAGGACTTTACGTGTGATTCTGAATATCAAGGAGGATCGGAAAGTAACTATAATCTATCGACACTATTTGAACAAAACTAAAAAAAAAAAAAAAATGTAATTATCAAAATAAATTAATATATTTCCATCATTGTTATTTTTTATATTTCATTGTCTTTATCGCCATGTGAACAATAGGGTGATTAAAATAAAGATGCTACGACCGAAGCATTGAGTGTAGCTTGTATATTAATGCCCTACAATTGTTGTTTTTGTAAGGCATCATTTTAATACACTGTTATTATATTACACTATTAAACGGATATGTTATACATACAAAAATACTGTTCATGACTAAATGTAAAGATGCTTCTTCGATGTTGAATATTTAGCCTCCGAATTCAGATCTTCTATCTGCAGCCAAGAAGAATATTGTATTAACATTTCTTAGGTGAGTGGTTAGATGTCAAGCACTTTTGAGATTTTTTTTATAAAGAAAGATATCAAGACCAGCCAGCCTACTTAGAAAAGTGTGAAATGTCACATTGTTTTGTCCTTCAAAACAATTGAAAAGTAGCGATTCCCGTTGTAAATACATAACATTGACAAATTGTTCAAGATATATGGTTAATTTTTTTTTATTAATTAATTTCGCAAATTCCCGTTTAGGGAAAAATGTTGAAACATGTTTAGTACAGTTGTAAAGATGAAATGTGGATATCCCCGATTTAAGATGACAATCCGCGTGGTTCCTGGACTTCATCTTTATGTCAAAAATGTAGATGTAGTCAATGGTATGGTTAGGATTGACAAAGTACATAATGTCTCCAGGAGTTATCCTTCTTGAACTTGAAATAGCACAGCGCACCCTTTACTTAATGCCTGGTATTAACAGTGACACATTGTTCCTTCTCTGCAGTAGTTCATGTCACTCTTACAGAATGTTGACAGTTTAAACTAAATTTATAAGGGTATATGCTTAATCCAGTTATTGCACGGTGTTTTCTCGGTTTTGAGAGAAGCGATCATGGATACTTCATGATTTTAACACATCTAAATTTATAATATAGATAAATCCCGAACATGTCTCTGTCTACAACAAACAATACATATGTCAGTGACACCACACACAGACTGAAGATGATCACGTCATTTACATTGCAATACATTACGCTACAGAACCAAATAGAGCGTACACTATTTTGTATGGCGAAAAAGAGATATATGTTAATAACATAGGCATATCAATAGCGCTGGGCTGTTAAGGCAATACAGCGTCTATTAGCTTAATTAGTAATTATTAGACGTTTGACTTTGTAGAATAAAGAGTAGTATATTCATTATCAACGTAACAGTTACTATATATCAATCAATCAACTTTATTGCATTTTACATCCAATTTACAAGGATCGAGATGCAAACATCAAACATATTTAAATTTATTTTGCATTTAAATATAAAATGTACTTCATCTTCTACAGTATTGCAGAATTTACATAGTCGGGATTGTCGAGGAATCTTTTTAGATCTACCAGCCTCAATTTCTTAATTGTGGTTGTGGTTGTGGTCTCAGCTTTGCCATCAATTTTCTATATTCAAAGCTGGGTAACGATAGGTAGTGTTCCTCTGCATACTTTTTTTTTTTAATTTTACTGTATAGAAATAACTTAATATAAACGTCCAAACTATGCGTTTTTTCAAAAAAGTAAGATTCAAATTTAGCATGTATCGACTTTTTAAACAATAGTTTCCTTTTCCTTTTTTTTTTTTTTTGCAAAGAATGGGTCGGGATGAAAGTCATAGTTAATATTATTATTCTTTTTTATTTGGGAAACATATGTAAACCATGTATATATCCAATTTTCGTGGAGTTGTTTATTTACTTTTAACGACTCCTTTACAAGTACATTTATATCATTTTGTGTAATCCTTGCCAAATAGCACAATGCTTGAGTATTCACAAAACAGTCCATGGTATACTGACCCAGTTCTGTCCTCGATGCAACATTAACAGCGTATTTTCCAACTCCAAATGCCATTTTGCAGAATTTGAGGTTGATTTGTTCAATAGGTGTTTTATCAAGTAGAGAAAATATGTATAAACAATAAAATATTAAAATATCCTTATGTTACTGTTAATATTTTGACGTGTTATATTGTACCTAGTATCCAAGTGTTCGAGTATGTATTACACTTTGTCAAGTGACACTTTGTCATACTAAAGTATACTTTAACAAGGACAGAACAATAAACAGCAGAGGTAAACTGCTGATAAACGGACCGGTATTAATATAGTCAAGACAGGTGTACATGTAAACATGGTATATGGTATTGTAATTACATTGTATCGTCAATAATTAAAAACGGTATTAATATAGTCAAGACAGATGTACATGTAAACATGTTATATGGTATTGTAATTACATTGTATCGTCAATAATTAAAAACCGGTATTAATATAGTCAAGACAGGTGTACATGTAAACATGTTATATGGTATTGTAATTACATTGTATCGTCAATAATTAAAAACCATACAGTACATGATATCATATTGTCAATAAATTAAACACTGTACAGTACAAGACATTCAATCGTCAACACATCAAATATTGTGCACGACATTATAACATGTATGTTGTCAACAAATTAAACATTGTACATACCAATATATCGTCAACAAATTAAACATTGTACATACCAATATATCGTCAACAAATTAAACATTGTACATACCAATATATCGTCAACAAATTAAACATTGTACATACCAATATATCGTCAACAAATTAAACATTGTACATACCAATATATCGTCAACAAATTAAACATTGTACATACCAATATATCGTCAACAAATTAAACATTGTACATACCAATATATCGTCAACAAATTAAACATTGTACATACCAATATATCGTCAACAAATTAAACATTGTACATACCAATATATCGTCAACAAATTAAACATTGTACATACCAATATATCGTCAACAAATTAAACATTGTACATACCAATATATCGTCAACAAATTAAACATTGTACATACCAATATATCGTCAACAAATTAAACATTGTACATACCAATATATCGTCAACAAATTAAACATTGTACATGGAACTATGTCGTCAATACATAAATAAAACAAAGTGCACCGTAATATGAGGTAACCTTAATTACACTTTCTATATTTTCAACAAACGATCTAATGCTGTGTTTTATGCACAAGTATATATGCATTGATAAAAAGAACTTTACGCTTAAGTGAAACAGAAAAATTCCTTCCACAATCTAAATCACCGGGTTTTTATTTTTACCTCAATATGGCAAATTGTAAACTACACTGGAATTTATGAATATTCTTAATATCACTATGATCGTGTCATCAATACCTGTAAATATTCATGTAATGCATATCAACAACCAATCGCGATGAAGATTAAAACTCCCTCAGATAATTTTACTTTTGGCTCTCCCACCAATCCTTATCTCACATGATCACACGCCGAACGATCATTTTCATTCAGCAAACAACTTTTCAAAATACTCATAAAATCATTTAGGAATAAAAAATAAATAAATAACGTGAACATACTTCGTCTACTATAGATTCATATTTATCAATGAAGTTTTGGAACTGTACCACGGGATCTGATGAGTCCATGTAGGCATACGCGGAGCTACTCCTTCTCTCGGACTCCTGGTACTTGGTGACAGCTACTTGGTACCTTGCCCAGCTTGCCGCCGGCTCGTTCCCCTCACCCTCGGCGAACAGTTGTTTCACCATGCCTCTGTTCACGATACGGTAGGCTTTCGGATTTCCGTAAGCGTTCTTTTCTTGTTCGTTGTAAAAGAGGAGATATTTTGGCGTCTCGAAGTTGAATTTATACGCACCCGCCAGCTCTGTATCTTTCACATCACGTGTGTATTTTGTCATATGATACTTGTCGTTTTCTTTCGCAGAGTAGGCATTTGGCCTTGTTGTTGGAGCGATGTCCCATGTTTCGAATCGGTTTGTTCTCCCTTTAATGTCAATGTCTACTTTCAAGTTGACGAGATGAGTGTGCAAGTTTCCGTTAATGTGATCATGTACCTGTGTTCCGTAAGCCGTCTCCTGGTCTGTATGGAAAGTAGCATATGAGTGGTGTCGTCCAATAGGGTATCCGGTATTGTGCTCAAATAAGCAGAACGCGTTCTTAAATGTCAACGGTTATCTCGAAGATTCTAGGACAAAGGATGTATTCATGAATGTGGCGTGTGCTGGACAGTCTACATCCGGTACCAGTCCCTTATCCTGAGGTCCTATTAGGGTGTAACTGTCAAAACAGTCTACAAACATCTGGCCCGGCTTAAAACCTGAGTAAAGGACAACTATTTCCTGCAAGCCGATATCGTAGGGAATCCTCTCGTACCTGAAGCGGATGTCATATAGTTGTGGACGGACGACATTCTGTAGAAGAACTTCCAGCCCATATATTCCGCGTGGTTGTGATGTATTGAGTACCTCTTACCATTAGGTTCCACTTCTATTGGGCCTCTCTTAAACTCATTTTGAAACGCCTGGCCACGTCTTGTCATTTTTGAGAACGTATTGTCATTTTCCTTTGGAACTTTTATGTTTTTAACTTGCCCGCTAAAATGACTCGTGTTATTGTATATTTGATAGACTCTCATTTGAAGTACCATTGATTACTCGTGTTATTGTATATTTGATAGACTCTCATTTGAAGTACCATTGAGTACTCGTGTTATTGTATATTTGATAGACTCTCATTTAAAGTACCATTGATTACCCGTGTTATGGTATATTTGATAGACTCTCATTTGAAGAACCATTGATTATTCGTGTTATTGTATATTCAAATTGATACAAGTACCTTGTTATATTTGTAGCATAATTATAAAGATTTCAAAGTGATGTTTAAAATATACAATATTTCGTTAACATTAGGACATTAAATATCGTTGACACCTTCTAAAGACCACTGCTGGGTTTATTTTAATCTTAATTAATAGATTATCATTTTTATTTGTATTCTGGAGATCACTCTTTCTTTCTAATCATTGAATACTGAATAAGGCCATTTGCAGGGTTTTCAAAACAGATGGGTAGGTTAACAATGTAAAATCCTGAAAATATAAACACCAATTCTAATGTGATCTGTATCAAATATTTTATTTATTTCAGGAATTTGTAGAACGTAAATCACATGATTCTGTCACATTTTTAAATCTGAAATGGACCCTTTTTTTAGAGAATACGAATTTTGTCACGTGAATATGCCGAATGTTTTTGTAACCCAACTTTTTTCATGCGTATATCATTCTTAAATATTAGAATAATTTGTTTTAATTTGTGTACAAAATAATATCCAACTGTTTTGTTATTAGCACTTCTTGGTCGCTATGTTTGCAATATACTGTGTTTATATCGTTCATAGCAGTATTGTGGTTACATCGATGTTACTTATACCAAAAAGGTAGTTACATTGAACTCCGTTCATGTATTACATTGTTTCAAACATGGGGCGTTCCATAATGTCATCCTTTAATTCAAGTATCTCATAAAAAAATAAATCTTTCAGTATTTCAAATTTGTCATTGTTCGTTGCAGTGTCTTGTTTTTCATTTTGTATTGTTACTATCTTTATAGAAATGAAACTGATTCCATTTAAATATTTAAGTTTTGTCATATGTTGTCCATGTGTGTTGACGATATGGTATGTTTTGTCCCTGTGTGTTGACGATATGGTATGTTTTGTCCCTTTGTGTTGACGATATGGTAAATTTTGTCCCTGTATATTGACGATATGGTATGTTTTGTCCCTGTGTGTTGACGATATGGTATGTTTTGTCCCTGTGTGTTGACGATGATATGGTATATTTTGTCCCTGTGTGCTGACGATATGGTATATTTTGTCATTGTACGTGTGTTGACGATATGGTGTATTTTGTCCCTGTGACTGTGTGTTGACGATATGGTATATTTTGACCGTGTGTGTTGACGATATGGTATATTTTGTCCCATTCTGTAAGTGGACCCATGGTTCTGTTGAATTGGAAATAAATAAATAAATCAAAAAAAAAAAAAAAAAAAAAAAAAAAAACACTATGGAATATTCGGTTCCTGTGTGTCGACTCTGTGGTTACATACTTTTCTATGTGTATTGAGCCTCTTGTATTTTTTTGTTCTTGTGTGGTGAAACTGTGATATATTTTGCCGCTTTGTGTTGATGTTGTTGTTATGATTATACATTTTATCCCAATGTGTTGAAGCTGTATTTTGTTTTTATTTATATAAGCAGCACACAGTTATCACATGTAGCCGCACCGTCTCTACAGTACATATCATCAAGTTATCGGACAATGACCCTACGGTCAGTAGTCACCGCGTTATACCTGGTTTAAATCCCGAATGTGTTTATTTCCATATCCACTCCTCTACTGTTTGGTGAAAGACTGATCCATAGGTCAGTTATCCCAATATTAAATGGCCACTGAAATTAGATAAGTTATAGAACTCGGACAAACACTATTCTGCCCGTCATCCTCTACTGTACATATACTACAAGGGATGAGAGAATCACCTAGCGGTCATTCATCCCAATAGTGCGTGACCATTGGCTACTCGGCCTGATACACGTAAACATTGGGGTATCCTGTCCTCTCGACATTAGGCACGTATGTTTTATGGGTATGTTTACTCTAAAGACGTGTAAAACCCTGCTATTGTAAAAATTATTAGTATCCATATTGTGAAGGAAAGAATTTTTTACCATACCGACACTTTTTTTTTCGTCAATGGTAAAAGTTTAAAAGGAAAACATATATAGATACGAGTATATATATATTACAGCATTAACATACACGAACAAGGCAGCGGTCAAAACTGGAACTGAACCAATGCTAAGATGATTTTTTTTAAAAAGAAAATGGATGCGAGAAGGGTGTTCCAAAAGTATAGGCATTTTAACAAAATGTGACCACGTCATGAATTGCATGATTGATTTTTTTCTCGTTGTCTGATATTAATGTAAGATATTAACAATTCCACTATAAAAAGTTTGGAATATGAATGGTATATGAGCTTTGGTTCATGTATTAATGACAGGGATAAAAGATACACGCTTTAACAATTCAGACACGATTGAAGTTTATTTCAACTGATATATAGGATAAGTTATATCTCTGTCAGTCTGGTGTCCTGACGATTTCTGTCTCTTAATAAGGATTCTTGTAGCCTTAGTGCTAACCTTCTATCTTGACTAACTGTTAGAACCCCTAGCACGTGATGTATAGCCATACTACGTCCTAGAAATAGTATATGTCACTGTTATGGTTGTCCAGTCTTTACCAGGGAAACCAATTCCATGTTTTGTTGCGTTCACTGACAATCGGAAAGGATGACTTTATGACCTCTCTATTCATTGCCGGAGTCGTATGGTCAGTAATCAAATACTAGTCAGGTTTTAATAACACTAGAATGTATCACCACACGTGTATATAATGCTGGTAACATTGTTTTCGGAGATCGAAAACAAAACATAGATGTTATGTCTTATTCACTGTAGATCCTTACGTGTTCGACTGATGTGAAATATCCTTATGTAAAAGAGGCTCACTGCACACTGGTCGAGGTAAAATATTTTTGTTTTTGTTTCTTTGGTTAATTATTAGATAAGGTTGATTAAGGACGTGGTGGTTAAACACAGATGTTATTTAAAAGAGGATAGGTCAAATGAGGTGCATGAATCGCGATAAGTGACGTTAATGCTTTAGTGGTCACACTGTTTCCATAAAGGTTTAGATGGAAACAGCCCAAACAGAACAAAAACAGACCTGTACTTACAATTATAAGGAAGTATCTTTTTAGGCGAGTTGTTTGTAGAATGTAAGTGATGATTAATTCTAGACATGCTGGGGGTTATTGTCCCTCATTTTGCATTGTATTGAATAACAGTTTGTTTACTCGCCAGTTAAGAAACTGTGTCAGTCATTGAACATATATAAAGGGCCTAGTATGACATAACAACACACGTTTTGTTCAGTTAATGCAAATATATCAACAAAAGACGGCTATAGCATACTGAAGTATTAAACTTTTTTTTTTTTAATGAATCTTCCGTGGCGAGAGTAAATAAAACGGCTCAAAAGTCAATGCAGAGGATGGGAAACCTATCCCAGTATGTTTAGCGTATTGATTACCCGTTAATGGGCATTTATATTCCGTCTTTTCGTATTGCAGAGTTATCTGCTCTTGTGAGCGAAAATTGATTGTTACGTCATTGTTTGTGAGAGTAACGTCATATTTTTTTGAGTAAACGACGTAATTTTCTCACACAAACTAATGACGTAACTATCAATACCTGCTCACAAGAGCAGATGACTCTGCAATACGAAAAGACGGAATACCTACATATGGTTCTTATTTGCAGATATAGGAAACACAAACGTACAGAGCGATAATGGTTGACAGACCAGAAAGGTGTTATTACCATTAACTCAAAGTACCGTGTGCTTAAGAAGAAAATGTTTGGTCTACTTGTATACTAGGTTAAATTTCAGGATTTTAGATATTAATATTAAAAGGCTATTTGGAACGCTTAGCATGCCCATAGCATACTGAACAAATATGTTATATAGAATCTAATAAGTAGGGAATCAATTTATGAATATTTTAATAATCTTTTGCATTGGAGCATAAGGGCACTTTTAGAAAGTAAATACTGTTCTACAAAGCCGTTAAACAGGTACAATAAGATGTCAACAAACCTTAATTTATGTCAGTACACAC